ACCAAAAGGGTTACGAAACAGTTTTTGGTCAACTTTAGATTCGGTTTGGGGTGCTGATTCAGAAAATTGCATTGGACAAACCACATCAGCTCTAGTTTCTGATACAAAACATATGCCATGGCCAGTGACAGGGAAGAAGCGGCAGGCAATGCGAAAGGAGGAAGAGGAAGGAGGCTTGCGGACCATATTTTTGTCCTCACGGCCCACTGGTGGTCCGCAGCCCATAGGTTAAAAAGCACTGCTTTAGGCAGTCACTCTCTCTCAGACAAGGACTGCAGCATTAATAAAATACTTAGGTCAACTTCTTTAGTCAATCATACATTTCTATGTTAGGCCTGGGTAACAACGGAAAAATTTGTTTCTAAAATCGATTCGTTTTTTGGGGGGTTTTGCGTTGTTATTTAAAATAATTACAAAATTTTCCTTTTAAAAAGTTCGATATTTATGAAATTTCGTAAATGGTAAAAAATTAACGAATCGATTTCCGAAACAATAACGAATCGATTCGTTAATGGCGGACGCGACCGCGAAATACGCTAAAAAACCTCCAAAACCTTCTGAAGCTTCCCTCTCCCTCTGTTGTTGACTGTTGGTGTGATATTATAATTTTTTTTCACTAATTAAACAAAAAACTTGCCCCAGACATGCGGAAATAATAACGAAACGACCTCAGAACAATAACGAAACGAATACAATAACGAAATACGAAGCATTTACAAAAACGTGTTTAAAAATTCGTTTTTTAAAAAAAATGCTCCAGAATGGTTCGTTATTTTTGTAATTAAAAAAATTAACGAATTATTAACGAATTACGAATTAACGAAACGAAACCGCCCAGCCCTATTCTATGTAATGCTTATATTTTATAAAGTTCCCTACCTTTAATAAGTACATGATGGCTTCTTCGTGGTTTCTCTGTCTCTGTTTGGTTTTAGCCATTTCTTGATAAATATCTATCAGTTCCGGTGACATCTCTCCTCCAGCTGATATTGTTGTTTCAATTGTCCTCTCAAAGTACCTAGCAGCCAATTCTAACTTCTTTCGCTGTAAACTTGCCCTAGAAAGAAAAACTGTGTGATGATTTTTCAAGTAACTTCTAAATAGTTGCTTTTGAAAACATGAAACACATATACTAGAAATTTCATTTGATTCTGCATCTAATGCTTCCTGCTTGGACTATGAAAGACCATCACAGCAGATAACACTCTTCTTCGTAACAATGGGAAAACAGTTGTTAGAGTATTGTTGTTAAGAGTATTGGTTTGGAATTTGGGCAATCCAGAGTCTATCCCCACAGAGGCTCCATATACACTGCCATATAATGCAGCTTGAAACTGTCTGGCCCAGGCTACTTATCCGAACATATCTGCTATGGACCATCACGAAGCTTAAGATCGTCAAGAGAGGTCCTGCTCTCGATCCCACCACTCACGCAAACGCGGTTGGTGGGAACGAGAGACAGGGCCTTCTTGGCAGTGGCCCCCCATCTGGGGAACTCCCTCCCTAAGGACATCAGATGGCCACCCCCCTCCTGTTCTTTAGAAGACAACTGAAAACTTGGCTCTGGGGCCAGGCGTTTGATTAGAAGATATTGACAATAGGAAAGGAATTTGGGTTGCGACACTGGATTTCCCAGTTTGATTTTTGGTTTTATTGGCATTTTAATATTATCTGGTAAATGAATGTATTGACTGATGTGTTTGATGTTTTAAGATGATTTTACTGTTTTACTGTTTTATTGTATTCTTTGATGTATATGTTATAAGCATCGTTGATGCCTATGTGAGGCCGCTCTGAGTCCCCTTGTGGGGAGAAGGACAGGATAGAAATGTACGAAATAAATAAAATAAATTATATAGTTAGTGTCTAGACTCATATAGGCCCCTCTGGTGTTGCAGCAGGTTAAAGCACTGAGCTGCTGAACTTGCCGACCGAAATGTTGGCAGTTCAAATCCAGGGAGTGGGGTAAGTTCCTGCTGTTAGCCTCAGCTTCTGCCAATCTAGCAGTTGAAAAACATGCAAATGTGAGGCAATCAATAGGAACCACTCCGGTGGGAAGGTAACTGCTCTCCATGCAGTCATGCCAGCCACATGACCTTGGAGGTGCCTACGGACAACGCCAGCTCTTCGGCTTAGAAATGGAGATGTGCACCACCCTCCAGAGTCGGACACAACTGGACTTCATGTCAAGGGGAAACTTTTATATTTACTAGACTCATATAATGCAGTTTAACTGCATTGAAATGCATTGCTCATACAACGTAGTTTCAAACTCAGTGACCTTGAACTGGTCACTCTCCCTCAGCCTGACTAATACAGGTTTTTCATTTTGGAATGAGAAAGTTCAGTAAATATCCTCACCAGGAACATATATTAAAAATATAAAGGACTGTGGGAAGTTTCCAATAAACTGACAAGTATATCTGCCTGGAAATTCACATGAAATAATATGTTTCATCTCTCCATGCCAAATAGCTGTTGGGATTGGCGAATAGGAATAAGTATTTGAATGTGACAACTTATTAGGAATCAAATGAAACTACATAAAACAAGAATGTCACGTACCAGAGGCTTACTTTAGATATGGGAATTTCTCCAATGGTTCACGATGCCTATGATCTCAAGTACAAAAATATGAAATGGACGTGACACTAACATCTTGAAATATCTGCACTAGGAGTTCATTAAGAGGACATTCATATCTAGCAGAACTAAGTCCCATTGGGTTTAGTGGTGCTTACTCCAGATATAGTTGTTCTTTCAATATGCAGCTGAGCTTTTCTTTGCCAGCTCAGGATCAGGCTGTTGATCGCTTCCTTACCTGCCCAATGCCATCATAAGTTCTCTCTCAGATACTTTAAGTTTAACTGCCTCTGTCCAATATGGTCCTTGTAATTCTTCCACAATCTTTTCTGCTTTCTTCAGATTGCAGTAGGATTTTTTCCCAGTGGAAAAGTCAAGGAAACTTTAAAAAGTAGCTATATATTTTTTAAAAAAAATCAAGTGCAAGTGTATATAAAAAAGAGTGATCATGATTTAGACCAGAGGAACTCCAAGGAAGTTATAAAAACACCTTACCCCCACAAGTAACTTGGTAGACCCAAATAATCCCAAATAATCATTCTCAAACCCAAATAATCATTCTCAGAGATCAACATGGTGAGTTTCAAAGCTCGGCACAAGTTTCTCAAATCTATGTGTACAACCTCATTCCATTTTGAGCCCCCCCCCCCCCCGGAATGAGAAAGGTGGTATATAAATACTGTAAATAAATAAATGAAATAATAAATACTGCAAGGATATTTTTTCTGCAACAGGTTTGCTTCACCCAAGGTATAGTAGATGGTGAGGAGAGTGCTCAGGATTTCTCCTCTTTCCTCTGTAGAAGCTGGAGGAGCTCCCTTCTCCATGAAAATAATATATTTGGCTGAGTCTGCATGTTTCATAGCTTGAATAGGGAGACCTGGACAAATCAACAAGATTACCTTAAAATATTGGTTCTCAGCCTATGGGTTCCCAGGTGTTTTGGCCTACAACTCCCAGAAATCCCAGCCAGTTTACCAGCTTCTGGAAGTTGAAGGCCAAAACATCTGGGGACCCAAAGGTTGAGAACCACTGCTTTAAACATCGACCAAACTAGAATACACTTCTATCTCTATTCAAAAGGCTTAGTCATGTTATTGTAAACTACAGTTGAGATTTTGCAAACGGTCCAAGAACAACCACTGTTCATTTCATATACTTCTGGGCCTTGGGAGGCTCCACCAAGTCACTTCTAATTTGGATTGGCCAGTCTCATCCCTGAAGACTTATGATGGCACAGATATCAATTTTGAATCTGGATTGGGATGAGAGTTCAGGAGGGGTCTGGGAGTTGAAATAAGACCTTGATGGGCAATATTAATCGTCTTAGGAGAAGAAAGGTATCCTTAAAAACTGTTTCGTTGGTTGAATTTAAAAAATGTAAGCCTCAAAGAGCTTTGACTTTCAAAGATATAAAATATTTTGGGCATTAATTATTTGGCTCATGGGTCATCTGAATCAATTAGGTAAGTCAGCTGTAAAGTTGAAGACTTAGTAGTAGTGGCCTCATAATTGTGGCATTCTCTCCCAAATGATACCTACTTGTGCTCACCATTTTGGCTTTTTATTCAAGTTAGCTTGTTTTGTTGCTGTTCAAGTTATTACAGACTTATGGGCAACCTTAAGGTGATTTTACCATGGGACTGTTTTGGCAAGATTTGTTCAGAAAGGGTTTGGTCTTGTCTTCTACCAAGAGCATGTGGTTTGCCCAAAGTCACCCAATGGGTTTCTATGGCCAAGTGAGAATTTGAGCCTCTATCTCCACAGTCATAATCCAATGTTCAGACCATTGCAACTTAATTGTTTTAAAAACTTTGAGGTGAATGCTGTAATTGGCTGTACAATTTTCTAAACTGCATTTTAGTGTTTCCATAATTATGTGTTTTAATTTTTGTCCTTTATGATGTATGTCATTCATGCTGTGAGGGCTTTATGTCGAACCACCCATGGTATTTCTTGCTGGTTATTACAATCCAGCAACTGGATGAAAGGCCGGCAGCTTCAAGTTGAGGTTTTGCATGATATCTGAATTATTGAATCCCATCTCCTAATGGAAATGCTCAGTGAAAGTTCCCAATACAGTGTGAAAGTATTGATCAGCTGCTGTAAAACAAATTGATAATCGAGCAGGGTGACAGGAGGACAAAATCCTCAGGCTGAAAGCTCTCTGTGTCATTGTGATAACAGCAATGATGATCCTAAAGTAAGATATGGACAAAAAGAAGTTCTCACTAAAAGAGTTGGGGTGTAATTCCTATCAGCTCCAGACACCTTATCCAATGACAAGGAATCCTGAGAATTATAGTTCAGTAACATCTCAGAGTCCTCATTTTGCACATTCGTGTTCTGAGGACTCACAAATTTACTGTGCATCAGGAAATCTATCAGCATTTCCATTCTCTGCTTGCTATGTCACTGGAGATTATGGGAGTTATCACCCATCACACATGAGAAAATAACAGGCGGGGAAAGTATTTCTTAATGTGCAAAAACACTTTTTGCTGCTTTTTTTTGGTGACACACAGCTATCCTTTCTGTAATAATGGAATTATGAAATGGCCAGTAGGTGGCAGCTTTATTCCATTTACAAATTGGACCTTAAAATCTGTTTTCTATAACTCAGTGGTTCTCAACCTGGGGGTCGGGACCCCTGCAGGGGTTGCCAGGGAGTGTCAGAGGGGTTGCCAAAGACTATCAGAAAACACAGTATTTTCTGTTGGTCATGGGGGTTCTGTGTGGGAAGTTTGGTCCAATTTGATTGTTGGTGGGGTTCAGAATGCTCTTTGAGTGCAGGTGAACTATAAATCCCATCAAATACAACTCCCAAATGTCAAGGTCTATCTTCCCCAAACTCCACCAGTGTTCACATTTGGGCATATTGAGTATTCATGTCAAGTTTGGTCCAGATCCATCATTGTTTGAGTCCACAGTGCTCTCTGGATGTAGGTGAACAACAACTCCAAAACTCAAGGTCAATCCCCACCAAACCCTTCCAGTGTTTTCTGTTGGCCATGGTACTTTTATGTGCCAAGTTTGGTTCAATTCCATCGTTGCTGGAGTTTAGAATGCTCTTTGATTGTAGGTGAACTATAAATCCCAGCAACTATAACTCCCAAATGACAAAATCAATCAATCCCCCAACCCGACCACTATTCAAATTTGGGCATATTGGGTATTTGTGCCAAATTTGGTCCAGTGAATTGAAATACATCCTGCTTATCAGATAATTACATTACAATTAATAACAGGAGCAAAATTACAGTTATGAAGTAACAAAATAATGTTATGGTTGGGGGTCACCACAACATGAGGAAATGTATTAAGGGGTCACGGCATTAGGAAGGTTGAGAAACACTGTTATAACTCTTCCAGCTAGATAAAGTTGCTCTTTTGCACTTTGTGTGCTTCCAAGTTGTTTCTGAGTTATGTCAATCTATCACTGGGTTTTCTTGGCAAGGTTTGTTCAGAATAGGTTTGTCTTTGCCTTTTCCTTCCCCAGAGGATGAGAGAAAGTGACTTGCATGAAATCACTTGGTGCTACAATTCCCAACATTCCCTTCCCAAACTCTGTTTGTTTCCAAGTGAAGCTGCATTACAACATGCCACAGAGGATGAGACAGGCAGAGAGTGAAAGCAAACCCTGAAAAAATACAAACAAATTATTGCTATGTGGGAGTAGGATCTAAGAATGAATTTTTACATCTCTGATTCCATTCTAATCATAGAGAGGTATCAGTCATGCTTTTCTAAGACAAGGGAATACAACTAGAATTGGTCCAGGGTAAGCTATATTTCAACTGTTTCCTTGATACAGTTGCTCCAAGGCCCAGTGCAGTAGGAAAAATGCTCATCAATACTTTGTAAGAACCTCATCACAATGGAGAATTAATCCACTTTAAATCCGGTTTCTGCCACCTGCAGAATTCTGGGGTTTATAGTTTTCCCCTAAACTACAAACCCCAGAATTCTGCAGGTGGCAGAAACCAGATTTAAAGTGGATTCATTCTCTAGTGTGATTAAGTACTTTGTGTCATTTAAAATGAATTTTAATGTTTTATGTTCATGACATGCAAGATGTAATTGTACTGTTTTTATTTTAGTTTCACATTTTAATGCATTTGCCCAGTTTTAATTGTTTTGTGTCATGCCAGCCTTTTTGAGTCTCAATATTGGGAGATGAGTGGGATAAAAATAAAGCAAATAATAAATTAAGACTTTGGGTATATCCACACTACACCATTATAACATTTTGAAAACACTTTAACTTGATTTGGCTGGGTGCAACAAAATACAGGGACTTGCAGTTTTGTTGAGGAAATTGAAAGGGGATATAGTGTTCAGGGATTGGAGACTACTTAATATCTTCCTAAACTACCAATTCTGCAGATCATTAGGAAAAAAGCCATTGTATATAAAGTGGAATAAAATTGTTATTCTTGTGCAGTGTGGATACCACATTGGATCTCATCAGGGTTTTATGTTGAGTAAGTGAGGAAATGCATTGGATCAGTCTACAGTAATTTAAAATGGGCTCAAATGTATTTTTTCTGCTGCTGTCTATTGCACATGCTTTCTTTATTAATGCATTCATTTATTTTGCTTCTATGCCACACATGTGAACAATTTCCGTAATTCCTCTTGGCCTTAATTGCCTTCATTTGGCTTTCTCTTCAGAAGTTACAACTGATGTCAGGATCAAATTGTATCTCTTTTTCCGTATTTTGTTTAGAACAACCTGCGGATGCTTTACCTTGGAGCACAAGATAGCCGTGAGCAAGGTTGGCAAATGCTTGCCCCAACCGCCAGTGCCCATTTCCATAGATAATTCGAGTGAGAGCAATACATTGGATTAGTTCTTTGCAGGCATTTTGTGCCTGGGGAAAAGAAAAAGATAACATAGAAATTAGATTTGTTGTGAAAAATAAAACATGTGAGTGGGTTGCTGTGAGTTTTCTGGCCATGTTCCAGAAGACCTCACAACCTCTGAAGATGCCTGCCATAGATGTGGGCAAAACGTTAGGAGAGAATGCTTCTGGAACATGGTCATACAGCCCAGAAAACACAGCCAGTGATTCCGGCCATGAAAACCCTCAACAACACATAAAACATTTGAGGCCGGAGGAAAGTGTGTATTTTTCTTTCCCAACTCAGGGCATCATTGCATGATGCTGTTCTCCTGCAGCATTTACACAATCACGGATATGCCTTGCATGGACATTGTGCTTGATCCTGGTCTTTCTTCCACAAATTCGCAACTGTTATTCCTTCCTTCATCTTGATCTCACAACAACCCACTGAGTCTTGTGGCCGATTGGACATTTTGATTCCAAATCTTGATCCCTCTTAAAGATTTAGAAACCACTCGTATCATCCCTCCCATTCCTTGAGGGAAACCTGAGCAAATGTTAAAAGCAACTCTTATTCTAATGCTTCTACATCGTTGAACCCGTCAGCTTGTATCACTGTGCACATGAAAAGGGAAATGTTACCTCTTTTTCTTCAGCAAACCTGTCTGCCTTTTTCTGTGCTTTCATTAACTTATCTAGCGGTGTAGCAAACAGCTTGAACTTCATTTCCTCTCCTTCACAGTTGCCCTTAATTTCCTCCATGTGTTCGATCGTTTCTTATTCTGTAGTCTTAAATGTTATAAAATTGGAGTTAACAACTAAGAGTCAACAGACCAAAAATGTCCTTTCTGCAGAGGAGTAGCAGTCACTACTTCAGAGACAAATAACTCAAGCCGACAAGGATTTTTCATCAGATATAATTTTCAGTCATTCTTATAGAGTTTTTCACACTGAATGAAGATCTGTGTTTAGGTTTTTCTCTATCATATGTAGAGAAGACAATTATGCTGGGGAAAGTGGAAAGTAAAAGGAAGAGGGGCCGACCAGGAGCAAGATGGATGGATGGCATCCTTGAAATGACTGGACTGACCTTGAAGGAGCTGGGGGTGGTGACGGCCAACAGGGAGCTCTGGCGTAGGGTGGTCCATGAGGTCACGAAGAGTCGGAGACAACTGAACGAATGAACAACAATGTAGTTTCTGCAATGAGGCAAATCAAATAATTAATGCATTTACACACCGATATCTTCTAATCAAGGTGAAAGAAGAAAGCGCAAAAGCCGGGTTGCAGCTAAACGTCAAAAAAACCAAGATTATGGCAACAAGAATGATTGACAACTGGAAAATAGAGGGAGAAACCGTGGAGGCCTTGACAGACTTTGTATTTCTAGGTGCAAAGATTACTGCAGATGCAGACTGTAGCCAGGAAATCAGAAGACGCTTACTTCTTGGGAGGAGAGCAATGTCCAATCTCGATAAAATAGTAAAGAGCAGAGACATCAGAATGGCAACAAAGATCCGCCTAGTCAAAGCCATGGTATTCCCTGTAGTAACCTACGGATGTGAGAGCTGGACCTTAGGGAAGGCTGAGCGAAGGAAGATCGATGCTTTTGAGCTGTGGTGTTGGAGGAAAGTTCTGAGAGTGCCTTGGACTGCGAGAAGATCCAACCAGTCCATCCTCCAGGAAATAAAGCCCGACTGCTCACTGGAGGGAAAGATGCTAGAGACAAAGTTGAAGTACTTTGGCCACATCATGAGGAGACAGAGAAGCCTAGAGAAGACAATTATGCTGGGGAAAGTGGAAGGCAAAAGGAAGAGGGGCCGACCAAGGGCAAGATGGATGGATGGCATCCTTGAGTGACTGGACTGACCTTGAGGGAACTGGGGGGATGACGGCCGACAGGGAGCTCTGGCGTGGGGCTGGTCCATGAGGTCACGAAGAGTCGGAGACGACTGAACGAATGAACAACACACCGATATCAATAGAATCTAATTATTCAATTAGCTTCATTGTAATAGAGAAAAAATAAACACAGATCTGCATTCAGTGTGAAAAACTCTATAAGAATGATCTAAAATTATATCTGATGGAAAATACTTGTTGGCTTGTGTTACACGAATATGATGTGAAATGTGCAGACTTTACAGTAGTCCACTATAATGCACCATTCATCATATTAAAAAAATTGATGTGATAAAAAAAGACATTTTTAAAATCAGCATAAAAATTGATTTAAACTGTGCTACTCTCATTTCTGATGATTACAAAAAGTTAGATTTTGTTGGATTGTGTAATTGTCATTATAAAGAGAACTAACAGTTCAGTTGTGGTTTGGATTAACCTCTGGATTCAACCACGTTTGTATAAATGACTTTCTGACAAAGCTATCAATTGAGGTAAACTATATGATCACCACCTTAAAAAAAGTGGCTGAAATTAAAATGAATACATGCTTCTTTTTTGGAAACTCTGCACCACATGCCTGAGATGGAAGCAGTGGTGTTACCTGCAAATGGTGGGCAAAGAAAAGGAACAGGTGGTTGGAGTGCTGGCAGATGAAATATACAATAGTTGGGCAAAAGATAAACTTTTAGTGGGATAACCTCTGGGAAAAACAGATACTCATGGGAGTATCTCCAACCCAACTAAAAGCACCACCTCTTTACACCCAAGAAAATTCAGCCACCTTTTCAACCTGTTCCAGCAAGTGCAATGCCTTCATCCCCTCCTTCTACTCCAGCTCATCCCTTTTCCTCCCCACTCCACCAAAATTGCCACTTTCTTACTCCTACAAGAAAACAGCCACCTTTTAAATCTGTTCCCAGTGAATCCATGACCAAATAAGAATTTGAAAGTATGTTGTTGGTTGATGTCCTTAGTTTTACTGAGTCTGAATGTGCATATGTGTTTTATCTCATTGTACTTTATATTCTGCTTCATTTTTATGTTTGTTTTTAGGCACTTTGTGCCATCTGTAAGCTGCCCACAGTCCCTTCGGGGAGATTATGGCGGGATATAAGAATAAAGTAGTAGTAGTTGTAGTAGTAGTAGTAGTTATTATATTATTATTATTATTATTATTATTATTATTTATTATTATTATTATTATTATTGCTGTTTCAAACCCATCACTAAGAAACATTATTATTATTATTATTATTATTATTATTATTATTATTATTATTGCTGTTTCAAACCCAGCACTAAGAAACATTATTCTAGTTCCACCAGAAGAGTAGTTCTGGTGGAAGTTGACCATGGAGTCACTCTGAAGATCGTAGAGATTTCTAGTGAGAACATTTAAATCAAATCCCCAAATGATCAAATTCACAAAGGTCAAACCTGCAAATGTGGAGGAGTGATTATATTGCTCTGGAAGAACTTTTTTTGTACATATGAGAAATCTAGATTTGTGTCATTTGGGAAAGTTAGATGGAGTACTTTTGGGAAACAAACATAAAAATGAAGCAGAATATAAAATACAATGAGATAAAACACATATGCACATTCAGACTCAGTAAAACTAAGGACATCAACCAGCAACATACTTTCAAATTCTTAGTTAGTAGCCAGCTGTATTAAATCACTACTGATCAAGATGTCATGAGTTTGAAGCCAGCCTAGGTCGGAGTGAGTCCCAATCATTAATAGTCTAGCTTGCTGTTGACCTATGCAGCCCGAAAGACAGTTGCATCTGTCAAGTAGGAAATTTAGGTACCGCTTTATGAGGGGAGGCTAATTTAACTAATTTACAACACCATAAAACCTTCCAGCAGCATGTGTAAGAATGAGGAAGTACTCCATCAAGGACTCAATGTCACAAGTGGATGGTGAAGTGGTAGCTCCCCCTGTGGCCAGAATCGAGCATACCCTCATGAAGCCGGAAAAGCTGGAATGTTAAATTGCCTCTGTCTGTCTATATATGTTGTATGTCTATGACATTGAATGTTTGCCATGTATATGTGCATTGTAATCCTCCCTGAGTCTCCTACAGGGTGAGGAGGGTGGAATATAAATACTGTAAATAAAATAAATAAAATAATAGGCTCTGTTGCTGTGGTTGGATCATAGTTTAGTGTGACAAAGCACAAGCTTTGAATGCAAATCTTTCTTGGTAGAATCATTGGAAAACTCAGTTTAAGAGATGTTGGCAGAAGTCTCTGGGTAAGGCCTTGGTTTAGATGGCACTGGACTGGCATCTGCCTGCAACTGAAGTTTGCTCCAAAGGCAGGGCAAGGTCTTGCACTTCACAGATTTGCTGTCACCTTGAGCTTTTCCATTGTATCCACAGTCTCGCTTCTAAATCTATAGAAACTGCATGCCCTTGATCTCCAAACTTTGTAAGAACGGCCCCAATCCCCTTCCTTTTTGCATATCCCCTTCTACATTGGATTATGAAGATGGTTTCATCCCAACCCTATAGTTGCAGGGTGGAAATTGCTAAAGCTATTTACATTAAAAAATTACTTTTTTTTTTTTATTTTTTTTTTATTTTTTTATTAAGATTTTTATTACAATATAAAACATAGAAAAAATGACATAGACTACAGAAGACGTGTACAACACAAAAAACAAGACAACACGCAGGCAAATAAAGACTTATAAGTAAAAAAATTACTATGTGAAACGAATAGCAGTTTCAAGGAATGGTTACTACACACGTGAATAGTAGCTTTTTAAAGCCATTTGTGAAGTTAGGAACATTTTTGGGTTGTTTTCTCCTGACTTTTCATCTGCATCTATGGCAGGCATCCTCAGAGGTTGTGAGGTCCACAACCTCTGAAGATGCCTGCCATAGATGCAGGCAAAACGTCAGGAGAGAACGCTTCTAGAACATGGCCATATAGCCCAAAAAACCTACAACAACCCAGTGGTTTTGGCCATGAAAGCCTTAGACAGTACAAGGAACAATTTTATTTGACTCCTGCTCTCCAAACCAGTTTTGGTTTTCTCTCTCAGAATCTTTTCATATCCATGCTTCCCTTTCTAATATACTAAATATAAAAGCTGTTCCTGGAATTGTATCAAACACCCTAATTTTGATTCCCAACAAGGAAATTGGCTCAGAAGAAGTTCCTCCTACCTCTGCACCAGGCCAGGAACAGAGTGAAAAGACCTCTTCCCCTCACTTGCCTTTGGCCTCTGGTAGCCCTTTGTAGGGTTCACTTTCACTGGGCACGCAAGGCAAAGGGCATCTTGTTCCTTTCCCACAGCAAATCCAAGTTTCCACTTCCAAGCCGTAGCCAGGGTGACGGCTTGTTGCCGGAGTTGTCCTGGTGACAAAATGCTTTCCTCACGCTTGAAAGAGAGTGCCTTTCTTTCCTTTGTAACCAGAAGCAATTGAACTCAATGGAGCTGGCAGGCTGTCCTCTGTGATGGATCATTAGAACAAAAAAGCAACACTATTTGAGCCATTGAGTCTGTTAGGCCCACTTCCAAATCCAAGCTGTATTTTATTCTCACAAGAATGTTGTAAGGATGTTTGCTTATGGTCTGTCTGTCTTTGCGTACACGCAATTGGTATGGTCCAAACACAGCCAGGCAAACTGCAATTTGGAGAGCAGAAAAAGGTTCAAGCTAAAATTTGATATCCTTGGTAACCAACCTTCTATGTACAGTTGGCATCCCATATTTGTTAATTTCACTGTTTGTGAATTTGATTATTTATATGTTTAATTTATATGTTCTCTCAAGGAATCTCTATCTCAATGTACTATCGAAGACTTTCATGGCTGCAATCACAGGGTTGTTGTGTGTTTTCCGGGCTATATGGTCATGTTCCAGAAGCATTCTCTCCTAATGTTTTGCCTGCATCTATGGCAGGCACCCTCAGAGGTTGTGAGGTCTGTTGGTTGTGAGGCCTAGCGGTTTTCAAGGTCTAGCTTCTTACTGCCTGGGGGAATCCTTTGTTGAAAAGTGATTAGCTGCCCCTGATTGTTTCTTGTCTGGAATTCCCGTTTTTGAGTGTTGCTCTTTATTGTTATGATTTTAGAGTTTATAGGTATAAACACGTTATAGGTATAAAAGTATAAAAATCAAACAGTTACTGATAATAAATCAGCATCAGCAAGGCTTGCTAAACAGGGTTTTTTCTTTTTTATGGAGTACAGCTGAAGCATTTTCTGCAGTCTGCTGTAAACACTGCATGTTATTGTTAACACATTTGTGTAAATGTGTGGTGTTCAAAAACCTTTTACGGTTGCCAAAATTTTTATGACCCCAACACTGAGCTAAGTGGACCCCATTTGGAGTCCGGACCCACAGTTTAAGCAGCAGAGCTCTCTGTTACAGGATATGGATTTGTATATTAAGTTTTGACAAGGATCATCTCCTATGTGGGTGTGTGTTGAGGAAGAACACCTGGACACTGAAGCAATTAAGTGTGAGCCACTCCCTGATTAGTGTATATCAGGTGAAGTCTTTCTTGATGTATTCAGTGAGTGAGATGGTGAGAGAGAGAGAGGAGGTCTGATCAGATGATCAGAGACCGGATGGGACTACACTACATTACACTACAAGAATTGCTGACTATTTACCAAGAAAGAAGCAGATAATGCATGTATTTAATGCATTGACTTTGTAAGTTATTTTTTCTGCAATGGACAATGTATATTTCCAAGGCTGGTGTGTTTTCTTTGTAAAGCTGCATATTTGACTACTCAAGAGTAAAAGTTTTTTTCCTTCTACTCTGTGTGATTCAACTTAAGGGCTGGAGCTGGGAAGACTGCTGGGTAGCTTCCATATAGACTAATAAACCGCAACACTCTAGAGCTTCCTAGAAAGAACGTTTTTAAATGCAATGTGTTGTCAAAGGCTTTGATGGTCAGAATCAATGGATTGCAGTGAGTTTTTTAGACTGTATGGCCATGTCCCAGAAGCATTCTCTCCTGATGTTTTCCCCACATCAATGGCAGGCATCCTCAGAGGTTGAGTGGTCTGTTGGAAACTAGGCAAGTGAGGTTTATATATCTGTGGAATGTCCAGGGTGGGAGAAAGAACTCCTGTCTGCTTGAGGCAAGTGTGAATGTTGCAAGCTGGCCACCCTGATTAGCATTTGATGGCCTTGAAGCTTCAAAGCCTGGCTGCTTGCTGTCTGGGGGAATCCTTTGTTGGGAGGTTAGCTGGTCCTGATTGATTCTTGTCTGGAATTCCCCTGCTTTTTGAGTATTGCTCTTTATTTACTGTCCTGATTTTAGAGGACAACTACCATGTCAGACTATGCAGAGAAGACATTGAAATCCACAAGCAAGTAGATAATTTTAACAGAAAGGAGGAAACCATGAAAATGAACAAAATCTCGCTACCAGTATTAATTGAATTAAATTTAAATCTGACTTTTACAAAATGGTTATATTCATTTTACAATTGCTTCTACATTTTCAGTATACTTTTTCTATTCGTAGGCTACAATGTGATCACAAAATAAGGGCAGGATAGCAATACTGTAATAAACAAATAATAAAAGATCAGTCAGAAAAAGGATTCTTTTTTAAAAAACTGTTTATTTGCGAATAAGGTAACTTCTGTAAAATTACATACAAAGGGCAATCACTATGCTATCGTATACAATTTCCAATGTTTCACAAAGATAATTGCAATAAATACACATAACAAAACAAGGTAAAAAGCTATGTTTGTCAGGCAGCCTACAAAACAGTTCCTCAAATTTTACTATTGGCAGCATTTATTGGCATATTTTAGATTTCTGGATTTGTTTTTGTAACGTTTTCACATTTCTTTGGAGCGTTAGAAAAAGGTACGGAATTATGAAATATTGTCCAAAATTAACAGGTATTTGTTAAACCAAGGTCTCACACATTCACTCCCACACCGACTGGGTCATATACTTTTAAATCTATGTAAGTCTGGCCATTGTAAAAAGAGGGGCTGATATTTAGTGGATAATGAAATTGGAAGCCTTGAGGCATTCCAATTTCATTATCCAGGTTGCTCATCTCTATGTCTAAACCAAAGAACCGGAGTTGTCCTTAAGACACCTCCAAGGTCATGTGGCCAGCTTGACTGCATGGAGCACCGTTTCTTTTCCCCCAGAAGCATTACCTATTGACCTACTCACACTTGAATGTTTTCGAACTGTTAGGTTGGCAGAAGCTGGGCCTAACAGCAGGAGCTCACCCTGCTCCCCAGATTCGAAATGACAACCTTTCGGTCAGCAAGTCCAGCAGCTCAGCAGTTTAACCCACTGCGCCACCAGGGGGCCCTAATAACCCATACTACATAGAGAATAACTACAGCCAACAGAGCTCCATCAATAGGATTTTAAAAAAAAATTTTTTTGCATAAATTGAATTGGCATGCCAATCACAAATGGTTATTCCCTTTCGGCACAATGTAATTTATTGAGGCTTCTGGAGTGTTCCAGCTTATGGAAATCCCAAATCTAATTGCCAGTTCCAACTAAAGTAGATTCACTGAATAAACTTCTGAGTGGTAATCAGTGCTTCAATAAATTTGACTGTTTCAGTGGGCTGATTTTAGTTGGAAATGGCAGCTGGATTCAAACTACAGACAGCTGTTTTGATGCACAAATGGTGTTACAAATTCTGCTTAAAAGTAAAGTTTTCCCCTTGACATTAAGTCTAGTTGTGTCAGACTGGGGGGTAGTGCTCATCTCCATTTTCTAAGCCAAAGAGCTGGCATTGTCCGTAGACACCTCCAAGGTCATGTGGCCAGCATGTCTGCATGGAGCACCATTACCTTCCCACAGCAGTACCTATTGATCTATTCACGTTTGCATGTTTTCGAACTGCTAGGTTGGCAAAAGCAGGGGCTAACAGTGGGAGCTTACCCCACTCACTGGATTTGAACCGCTGACCTACCGGTCAGCAAGTTCAGCAGTTCAATGGTTTAACATGCTGTGCCACTTGGGGCAGAATTCTCCTTATGGGATTTAAGTAAGAGTCTCTTATTCTCAAAAGTGATATCCCACCATCAAGGTTTTGACATATAGGACTGCTTCTGCCAGCACGGTCTTGGCATTAGATGGCTTTTCTAGTTTTAGGTGAAATGCTCCAAATAGAAGAACTCACAGCAGCCTCCAACTTCCATGATGCCTTGTGAGACATCACTGCAGCTGGAAAACTACTGCAAAATCCCAATCCATGTATTAAAAAGCCTCCAAGCAAAGCATAAGCTCGCACCATTTTTTATTCCACTTGCATGAAAAGGGACACTCAGGCCCCTTCCACACAGCTGAATAAAATCCGACATTTTCTGCTTTGAACTGGAACATATGGCAGTGTGGACTTAAATAACCCAGTTCAAAGCAGATATTGTGGGATTTTCTGCCTTGCTATTGTGGGTTATATGGTTGTGTGTAATGGCATTGCTGAGCACTTCCATGTTTGCCTGTAACACTTGTGTAGTTCTATGTACCAGCTGTTCTAAATGATCTTTAGAGGCACAAATACAATTTGGGTTGTTGTAGATTTTTCCGGGCTATATGGCCATGTTCTGGAGGCAATTTTTTTCCTGAGGTTTCACCTGCATCTACGGCAAGCATCAGGTGCTCTGCTATGGCTGATTTCTCTGGTTGGAGTAACAGAGGGGAAACAAACAGGCACATAAAATCACTCTCAACAAAAGATTCCCCCAGGCACTTCCAAGCCATTGAATGCTAATCAAGGTGATCAGCTGAAACATTCACAGCTAGCCCCAGCAGACAAAAGTCCTTTGTCTCACCCTGGTCATTCCACAGATATATAAACCCATTTTTCCTACTTCCAACAGACCTCACTACCTCTGAGGATGCTTGCAATAGATGCAGGCGAAACGTCAGGAGAAAATGCCTCAGAACATGGCCATATAGCCCGGAAAAACCTACAACAACCCAGTGATTCCGGCCATGAAAGCCTTCAAGAATACACAAATACAATTTGTCGGATCATTCTTGCATGACATACATTGAATGCGTCTTTGCGGGAAGAAAAAAAACAAGGCTTCTCTGTGGTATAGATGGTACAAGATTTGGCAACAAAAATGAGAGAAGACTAAATATTTAACCATCCTCTTTTATTCTAGGATGTATGGACCATTTCAGTACAACGTTTTCCGGGATACTTCCACTGCAGTTTACAACACAGCAGGACTAAGGGAGAAAGACAGAGAAAAGGACAACTACCCAAACCTTTCCTTATGGAAGCTTACTGCAAAATAACAAAAGAAAAAAAAAACCTCCCTGTTACATGGCAAATGGCTTTAGTTACAAAAGAAGTTTTCTAAATTTGAGGGCCAGTAAAAATATATTGTAGAGAAGATCTGTTACAAAAGTGAGGTTCAGAATTGTGAGGCAAACAATGCTCACTGTAAACATCATGAGTTCATTCAGATCCCTTGTTTACCATTTGGAACATGGGCTTGTATTTTTTTGTTTTCCTCCTGAGCTCCACGGCCAATAGCACTGCAAGGATTTGCATAGATAGCTTGACCTACTACTTGATAAAGAAATTGAGGTTGTAGCAGAGTTACCATTTACTGGCTTTTAGTACATGGCTATGCTCTAGGTTATGTGATTAGTACATACCACTGGCCTGGCATTTTTGTAATCCATACATGCCTTGGTTAGATATATTCTAAAAGACGGCATAGCTGGGTTTAGCCAATTAGTGGCTTTGTCGAATAATGCTGGCTTTCCTTCCTTTCATTTAACAAGGCCAAAAGGTTGCAAAATCAGCTGCGCCTACCATTACAATGGACATCTGAGGGTCTTAAAACATATATAAGGTTGCTTCTCCCTCTATCTTAACAAGGAACTGAAAAATTCTCACCTTCCAATGGTGCAAATATTCATTTCCAAAATGGGGCACTGCATGCTGGGGCTTCCATGGTTTGCACCAAAGAGTGATAACCAATGGAAGCACGGAGACACTCTCTAATACTGTAGGTCAGACTTTTGACCTCCCCTGATTTAAAGTAGTTGCAATTTCTGGAGAACTGTGCATGTCTCTACGATGCACAAACAGCACTCTGGGAAACACTAGGGTAAGGGAAGACACGACAACACGTTAGCTCCTACAACATAAAAAGGAAATGGGAAGTTTGGCCGGGATCCACGGCGATTCCCTGAAAGGGGCTGCCCATCCGATTTCATGTTAAGGCGAGACTCTAGCTCTACAGCAGCACCATCACGGATCGACAAAAACGGTTTCACCTTTCTTTTGTGACTGAGTTTTGCACATGGTTAAAATCTGTTTCAGCACTTTCTGGACATCTTCATCCATTTGGCCCTGTGGATGGGAGGGGGAGCAGAATTTCAAATACTATTCTCACTGATAAATTACAGAAACAAGTTAGAGCTCTGAGTGTTTCATGGCTCAATTGGACCAATAAGAACCAGGGATCACAAAATCTTAGAGTTGGAAGGGACCACAAAGAGTATTTTGTCCAATGTAGTTAATAAGCATGAATACACAGTTACAGCACATCTTAAAGGGAGGAGGGAGCAAGCTTGTTTTCTGCTTCCTTGGAGACTAGGACGCGGAACAATGGCTTCAAACTAGGAGATTCCATCTGAACACGAGGAAGAACTTCCTGACTGTGAGAGCCGTTCAGCAGTGGAACTCTCTGCCCCGGAGTGTGGTGGAGGCTCCTTCTTTGGAAGCTTTTAAACAGAGGCTGGATGGCCATCTGTCAGAGGTGATTTGAATGCAAAATTCCTGCTTCTTGGCAGGGGGTTGGACTGGATGGCCCATGAGGTCTCTTCCAACTCTTTGATTCTATGATTCTATGATAAAGAGGTCAATCTAATCTCTGCTTTCAAATCTCCAGATATGGAGTGTGTCCACCACCCTCTGAGGCAGTCTATTCCACTTTTGAACAGCTTCGTACGGTAAAGACGTTCTTTGTAATGTTTAGATTTCTTGTAGTAATCTATTGAAGAACAGAAAACAGGTTGGCTCCATCATCTATCTGGTAAAATCCAGTTGCACTTTATTATAACTTTCATTATGCCTTAGTCACATCCCATTTGGACTACTGCAATGCTCTCTATGTGGGGCTGCCTTTGAAGATAGTTCAGAAGCTGCAATTAGTGCGGAGAGTGGGGGCTAGATTGCTAACTGGAGCACTGTATCGTGAGAGGGTAACTCCCATGCTGCAACAGCTCCACTGGTTGCTGGTTCACTTCTGTGCAGTTGACAGATCGTGATTTTGTCAGTGTTCATTATTTCTAAATGCTGGCTGAGATCTTTTGGCATGGCACCAGTGTGCCGATGACCACTGGGGCCACCTGTACTGGTTTATGCCAGAACCTTTGCACTTCGATTTTGAGGTCCTGATAACAGCAGATATTTTCCTGTTGTTTTTCCTCAATGTGACTGTCACCTGGTATGGCGACATCAATAATTCAAACTTTTTTTCTATTATTATTATTATTATTGACACAAAACCACAGTATGTCACAGCAAACGAGATCTCTATGCTGGATTTGTTATCACAAAATCACAAGCTGAACACTTTCCAAGCGTCTACGATTGTGTGATGTAATTTTGAATGATGCGTGCAGACCCAAGTAAGGTGGCCTTTTGCAGTTGACAGATCATGATTATGTCAATGTTCATTGTTTTTAAATGCTGGCTGAGATCTTTTGGCATGGCATGTTGCCTATATTTAATGGGACACCCAGTAGATAACTACTTGTAGAATATCAATAAAATGTCCACTTTGCTCCTTAGAACAAGCACTCCTCCTTCTGTACCTCCATGCATGTGCTTTCTAAAATGTTTCATTTACTGTTCAGTAAGTCTAGATTTTCAACCATTAATGTATTTCCAAGTGGCAGCCTGGGTGAAAAAAACAAAGAAAAATGCTGGAGAAACCATTACCTGTACAGCATAGAGCAGGTGTGTCCTGTAAACAGATACAATATCCTGGTGCTGTTTCTTTGTTTCCTATAAAGAAAGATGTTGAGGAGTGAACACATGCATAATTTTGTCTTTATGCTGACATTTTAATAGAAATATTTCATTTTTTTGGCAAGGAGGCACTGGCTGTGTAATCCTGGATGAAGAATTTATTCGCACACTAGAATCTACTTCATTACAGTCAATAGCAGCAGCATTTCTACTGGAATAATAACCACTCTAAGCGAGCCTGGATAAAGAACCTTAGATTTAGAGAAACTGTGTAAACATGAAGCAAAAGCCAGGGTTTGAGCTTCACCGGATACATGGTTCACAAAAGTTTGTAGTAAATTAAACTTGTCTTCAAGGTACCCAAATATTTTGGTTGTTTTTGATGGAACAGACTGACATAGCCAGCCCTCTAGAAACAGACTGTCATTGAGACAGCCTAAGAATACTCTGGAAACCACTGCTCATTCTTATGTAAGAGGAGGATACAGAAACCTCATGAAACCTAGCACTTGCACCAGGGAAGGATGTCATACTCTACTTGCAGTTATAGAAAGCTGGCTTCACTGTGCATTCATGTTCAGGTTACTTGCCTATAACTTGTGTGCCAACTTAGAAATGTCAAAGTACAAACATTCTATATTCAAGTCACCATTAGATACCTCAAGCAGAGCAAATCAACAACAAACACATGTGCAATGCAGTAATACCATTGACAGTATGCAACTAGGTTTCTCAAAAAATAGGAAAGCTGTGTGTCTTTATCTTGCCTTTTTCCTATTACTGAGCAATTGTGTCTTTTAAGAGTTTTTTGCTTGCCAGAAGATCTTAAAGAGCAACATGGAATCAGGCTTTTCAACTTTCTACAATGATTTGGAAACAATGAACCAGAGATGTCATAAGAGAACCAACAAATTGTCCACTGGAAGTAATGGTTTTGCAGCAATGTTTTGCACTGCAATTGGGTTTGAAAACTGCAGGACTCCACAGAACATACTGCATGGGGAAGTAGAAACTCTGCATCTTTAGCAGAGTTTCTAGTAAAACAATCCACAGTATCATTCTCAAAAAGGGGTTAGGCTGAGTTATACAACCTTCTAATCAGTTTATAAAAAAAAATGTAACTTTGAGGCCATGCTGAATGTACTCCAGAGGGAACTTTGCCAAACTTTGATTTTGTCAATAGTTTAATTTACAGCCATCATCAGTTCATGGTGATATTTCAGAACCAGTTCAGAGCAAAGAGGTGCCACAGCAAATACATTCTTCCTGCTACCTCACATATTCATACGTGATTTTAACAGCATGTGATGTCATAGAAAAGGAGATGGAATCTGGCATTAAGATGAAGGAGCCAATTCTCCAGTCATGCCAGGTAGCAGCAGCTGCAAAACTGAAGTAATTTGCTATTTAAAACATGTGAAGCAGGGTTTGCATTCTGCTGGACCCCAAAGGGGGAGATGGATTTACATGACACATGCTACCATGATAATTACATGGGCAAGCAGCAAGGACCCTCCTTCTAGATTACTCTGTTCTGGTTCATCCATTACCAGGGTCTTCATGTGATGGAACAGCTAACATCCCCATTCACCACATGCGCTATAGTCAGATATATCTGCTGAGATCAGCAAAGGGCCCTACAGAGGTCTCTGCAGATTATGCAATTACTTTGCATCTGGCTACTGCATTATAGCCTGAAGCTTTTCTGCAACAAGTCCCAGCCCTCCACCAGTCAATGAAAAGCTGTGGGGTGGCTGCAAGGCTAAACGGCAAGTCAGGGGTAGGATGTGTGTTCACTAAAGAGAGTGGAAGAGAATATGAACCCCTGTAACAAAATGCAAAGGCATATGTTGAACGCAGGCCTCCATATGTCACTAACAATGACAGCTAAATTTTTGCTTGAAATCCTTATTCCCTAGCAGTCATTCAAAGTAATGTGTTTTTATAACTTGTTACTTCCAAGCTCTGGATAAATGTTTTGAGTCTAGTATCCTGGATGTGCTCAGCAGGGACATGCCAAGAAAGACTGGTGGAAGGAGGATGTTATACTATTCACTGCTCTTTTATATGAAGTCTACTCTACTATGAGAAATAGGTAGGTGGGGGAATGTTTATCCTTCAAGATGTTGACGGACTGCAACTCCCCATCAGACCTGGCCAACACAGTTAATAGTAAGGAAGAATGTGAGTTGCAGCACTACAACCATTTCCCTAAACATGAGATCTTAATGGGATGCATTCCCCAACATCCGGAAGACATATCACAAGTGCTTGCTGGCTATTGCCTCTTTCCCTAGGTGTGATAGATTGCCTCCCTCTTTGCTGTCCTTTCATCAGCAGCTTAAGACTTACTTTTTTCATTCCTATAGGCTTTTGGGAACAGACTGTTTCGTAAGTTCAGCAGTGTGCTAAACAATTATTTCTTGCTTTTTTAACAAAGTTATTACAATGCCTTTGTGCTCAATAGCAAGTGTGATACATGAACTTTTTGTATGAGTATAGCACACTCCAGCATGTGTTTCAATTCTGTAAGTCCCAGCTATGCGAAAGAGAGGAACATAACAAAAAGGAGTGGCAATGATAATAATGATAATGATAGTCTCATGAGCATTTCTGCATCCTATTTTTACCACACAATTTTCCCCCTGTAATTAGAACATATCTGTGTAAGTAACCTATTAACTTACAGCCAGCTGGTTTTGTAGCTGCTTGACTTGCTGTTGTAGCAGCTCCAGCTGTTGGCTTTGCCTTTTCGGTGTGCCAGATGCGTAAGACAGCTGTGAGAGACTGTTCAGTGCTTCCTTCAGTTTGATAACTTCTTTAGACATGTCTGTTATCTGGTGAGAAGCAGAAAAAAGGGAGAAATTGCATCAGACGGCGATCCTCTGGCTCCAAACAGATTTTATATTTTAGAAAATGCAATTCATTGCTTGTCAACCTTCATCTTCAGTAGTTTACAAGCCAACTTTGGACCATTGTTTCAGTATTCAGAGTGAAGTATTCAGGATTAAACATTATGCCTATGGAATATCTACATGTCTTCTCTTTCTAGTCAATGAAAGAATATAAATAAAAAATTGAAAAGCCCAAGGCTCATTCCCAAGAGGATGAGTATTCACTATGCCCCATTTATATTAGTTTTGCATGCACTTTCTTCCAAGTTGGTACTGCAGAACTAAAACTCCATCTTCCTACTAGCTAATCCTGATCTACTGACTGATAATTCTATTCTTTTTTCATTCCTTTGCTTCACCTATTTCTATAGGTTCAGACAAAGATTCAAGGTGAATATATTCATCATGTGCAGTGCAAAGAAGAATAAAACTTTCTGATCCCATGTGCATGCTCCTCTCCTTCCTTTGCTTAGTCAACAAAATAGGGATGCAAACCCTCCAGGGCTCCCAATCATGTAATGAGTACTTCTGAATATATATTCAGCACTTCCAATGTGTTGCTGAATACAAGGAAGTGCAGATATGGATTTCCTTTCCAACTGTTGGACATATACACATATATGACCAGTGTCATTTGCTCTTTTATTTTAACAACAGAGAAAGTAATTGTCTAATTTCTTCAGAAATTGAAGTTCATGCAAGGGCCACAATAATTTTTGTCTGTGGGGAACTGTTTAGTGACAGGGTTGTTGTGAGTTTTCCAGGCTGTATGGCCATGTTCCAGAAGCATTCTCTCCTGACATTTCGCCTGCATCTATGGCAGGCATCCTCAGAGGTTTTGAGGTCTGTTGGAAACTAGGAAAATTGGGTTTATATATCTGTGGAATGTCCAAGGTGGGAGAAAGAATTCTTATCTGTTTGACGTAGGTGTGAATGTTTCAACTGGCCACCTTGATTAGCATTTAACGGCCTAACAGTTTCAAGGTCTGGCTTCTTACTGCCTGGGGGAATCCTTTGTTGGGAGGTGATTAGCTAATCACCTCCCAACAAAGGATTCCCCCAGGCAGTAAGAAGCCCATTTTCCTAGGTTCCAAGAGACCTCACACCCTCAGAGGATGCCTGACATAGATGCAGGCGAAACGTCAGGTGAGAACGCTTCTGGAACACAGCCATATGGCCCAGAAAACTCACAACAACCTAGTGATTCCGGCCATGAAAGCCTTTGATAATACACTATTTAGTGACAATTGGTTACCTTAATTACCAGTATGACCAAGTGATCTTGCTTTTCAGTCCCTGAATGAACTTTGTCCAGATTCCAATTCTCAACCGAGAGACAATAATAAGTGACCATGATTTGGAGGCATTAGATTTACCAACCTTTTTATCCTTGTCCTCTTCCATTTTTGAGGAATTTTCAGAAGCCTTTTTCATTTCAAGAAGCTCTTCCTGAGCATGATGGTATTGTTGAAGCAGTCCTTTTATCTCATGTTCCTTGGCATCAAGGATCGCTCGCAGATTCTCTTTTTCCCCTTTCACTTGGAGAATTTCCTTCCTCAACAGTGACACATCTGTAGACAGGTTCTCCTTCCCTTTCATCATGTCCTTCAGTTTGGCTGTCAAGGTCTTGACTTCCACCTCTGACTTGGACCGAAGCTCCTCATAGAGCGACCTGGGCACCATGGCTTCACACACAGCCTCTTCTTCTTCCAACAGTTCCTTCTGCAGTCGTTGCACCTCACTTTCTTTGTAAAGAAGCTGCTCTTTGAGATCGTTTATTTGCTCTTCCATTTCTTTCACTGAGCTTCTGAGAGCAGTGACCACCTGGAGATGCTCTGTGATGGAGACGGAGTTCTTCTTCTGCGAGTCAACCAGGTTCTGCAATTGTGTTGCTTCACTCAACACCTTAGCATACTGAGCCTTCATTTCCATCAATGCACTCTCTGCTTGCTCTCTCTGTAAGGCAGTGACCTCCAATAGCTTCTCATGTTCCTCCAGAGGTATGCCCACTGGGCTGGCATCTTCTGAAGTACTCTTTTTCCTGAAGTCCTCAAGTTCTGTTTGTGCTTCTTTGTATAGCCGAGAAAGTTCACTGACCTGCTTGTTCAGCTCGCTTATTATCTTGTTCTTTGCATCTCTCATTTCTGCATCTTCTTCACCTTGCCCTGACTCCATCTGACTTTTCAATTTTCCTTGCAACCTTTTAATCTCTTCCTGTCCTTCCTTGTATCTCTCAATTAGCAAAGCCTTCTCTTGGTTGATGTTCTCGATAACCAAGCAATAGGAACTCTTCATCTCCTCACACTCTTCTGCCGACATGCTGCCCGCTGCATTCCTTTCTTTCTCTTCCAACTTTTCCTCTAGCTCTCTCACTTTCTCTCTCAACTTACTGCTTTCTTCCTGTGCTTTCTGTAACTCTTCCTTCAACACTTCAATTTCCTCACACGTTGCTCGGAGTTCCTGCAGATCAGCTTCTTTGCTCTCCGAAGCTACCAGGCCCAGTTTCATTTGCCTCTGAACATTCAGGACCTCCTTCATTGCTTCTTCATACTTGCTTTGGGTTTCTTTTAGTTTCTGATTGAGATCAGAGCCATTCTCTGAAATCTCTGAATTGTTCAACAGGTGATCTCTTTCTGCTGCGCCAGACTGGAGCTGATTCTCCAAGTGCCGCCTCTTTACCTCCGAGCTGTCCAATCTCTTCTGGACTTCCTTTAAATTGTCTTGTAGCTGTTTCATTTTTACTTCATTATTGGCTGCTTCTTCCTGAGCCTGCATTAAGCTCAGGGGAGAGGAGTTTATCTCCTGAGCTGCTGCTGTAGAGCTCTCTCTCAGCCCATCTGTAGAGTAATCAAACTCTGTGTGCGTGGAACGACAAGAATCCAGCGTGGTGTCCCCATCTTCTGTTTTGAATCCTCTCGCCTGTAGATACAGCAGATGGCAGTATTAGACTAAGACATATGAGACTGACACGATAAAACAAAGGGCTTTAAAACATTTCTTAAGAAGGCTGACAAAGAAAAAAAGCTAGACTTCTGCCCCAAGTACTCTGTGGTAGGTAAATGTGATCTCACAACATCTGTGTATAAGACTTGCCTTGCAGGGCTAATACCAACACTTATTTTCCACTGCAGGTCAAGCAGATGATAACTTCTTTTACTACTGCTCTAAGGCAGAGCTTTCCAAACTGTGGGCTGTGACAAGTTAGTGTGTCGGCGTGCCATGTGAAGATTATGAGAAGCCTCTGAATCTATGTGAAATTGTTGTTGATCACTTGTTCAGTTGCTTCCGACTCTTAGTGACCTCATGGATCAGCCCACCCCAGCTCCTTCAAGGTCAAGTCAGTCACTTCAAGGATACCATCCATCCATCTTGCCCTTGGTTGGCCCCTCTTCCTTTTTCCTTCCATTTTCCCCAGCAAAATTGTATTCTCTAAGCCAGTGGTTCTCAACCTGTGGGTCCCCAGGTGTTTTAGCCTACAACTCCCAGAAATCCCAGCCAGTTTTCCAGCTGTTAGGATTTCTGGGATTTGAAGGCCAAAACATCTGGGGATCCACAGGTTGAGAACCACTGCTCTAAGCTTGCCTATCTTCTCATTATGTGGCCAAAATACTTCATCTTTGCTTCTAATATCCTTTCCCCCAATTAGCAGTTGCTATGTGAAATAATCAATACCAATTTGCATGCATGCAGCAAAGATGCCAATTAATATTAGTAACATTCTTAATTCTCTTAAATAACTAAAATCTTTGAACTATAGGTTATTATTTTACAAATTATATATTTAAAAAATAAAAATAAAGTTTTTTGTCATATATGTTATACCGCTCATACATTTTGTTATTACAATTTATGTATGTATGTGTTATCTCTTATAAGGGGCTAATTTAACCTCCAGTTTGCTAGTCAAACTGAATTACTGTGTCACAATATGCTGCATGTCTAAAATGAGTCACTAACACAAAATGTCTGGAAAGCTGTACTATAAAGTGTGTGTCCCAATAAAATATGAAGAACATTTTGGGAGTGAAACCATTTAAGAGTAATGTCAAGACTATCCCTACCCTACCATTAGGCACAGTGTTTCAGGCACTGCATATTGTAGAACAGAGACCTCGAGATGTTTTGGATTTCAACTACCACAATTCCTAACACCTGGTAAGCTGGCTGGAATTTTGGGGAGCTGAAGTCCAAAACACCTGGAGGAACACGGTTTGATAAACACTGCCCTAGACCCATCTCAAATTTCCAAAATGTTCTGACATCAGGTGACTATGCAACATTTATATTGTTGTTGTGTGCCTTCAAGTCATTTTGGACTTAAGATGAGCCTATTATGGGGTTTTCTTGGCACAAATTGTTCAAAGGATATTTGTCATTGTCCTTCTCTGAAGCTAAGGGAATGTGACTTGTCCAAGGTGTCCCAGTAGTTTTCCACGGCCAAGTATAAATTTGAACCCATATTTCAGGCTTTCCATACCATTATCCATAGTACCCTTCTGGAATGCCTGGAGGGACCAGGAATTGGAGGCACTGTGTTGCAGAGGTTCCTCTCCGGCAGGTTCCAGATGGTGGTGCTTGGGAATGCCTGCTCCTTAAAAAAGGAGCTGTTATACAGTATCCCACAAGGGGCCATTCTATCCCCAATGCTTTTTGATATTTACATGAAACCTCTGAGAGAGATGATCCAGCAGCATGGGGCGGGGTGTTATCAGTATGCTGATGACACCAAAATATATTTCTCCATGCCTTCAAAAACAGCCTTGGCTAAGGATAGCACGTCTCCTCTAAATGAATGCCTGGAGAAGTAATTGGCTGGATGAGGAAAAACAAACTGAAACTGAATCTGAATCCAGACAAAACAGAGGTGCTTTCCATCAAGGGTCATAATCTGGGAATGGAGGTGTGTCAAGCTGTCCTGGATGGGTTACACTCCCACTGGAAGACGGTGCTCCTGGATCCATCTCTCCAAATGTCTTGATAGTTTTAAAAAAATACCATCACTGTTTCATATCATGAGATGTTCCAATACATACCTGTAATTTTTCTTGCAGTTTCTTGTTATGCACAGTCAAAGAAGCAATTTTTGCTTGTAGTACTATGAGTAGGTCTTGCTGGTCTGTTTCTGAACTTAGATCCAATAAACTATCAGCACCTTTTAAAATCAAAAGAAAAGGAATGAGAAGAAACAAGTCATTTATTATTCCAGATTCCAATGCAGTTATTGATTTCTGTCAATTTATGTTAAGTATATATATTTAAAAATCCAAACAATATATTTACTGGTTTACTACATATATACTCATGTATATGTTAAAAAACAACAAAAAACCTCATTATTATTATTATTATTATTATTAACTTTATTTGTACCCCGCTAGCATCTCCCGAAGGACTCGATGCGGCTTACAAAGGGCCAAGGCCTCAATAAAACAATAACAATACACACAGCATTATAAAAAGCAAATCAACAATTAAGCAAAATAACAACAATGACGATACATCAATACATCAAGACACTATTAAAACTGGTTCAGCCGGCGCAATGGGGTACAGGGTAAAAGTGCTGAGATGGCAGGAGGAAAGTAGGATTAAAAGTGCGGTGTGCAGCAACATTGGTTGTGCTAAAGTGCTTCAAGGACTTGGGATGGGGGATTCCTAATCTGCGAAGGCACATCGGAACAGCCAAGTTTTTAGGTTCCTTCTGAAAACTGCTAGAGTAGGGGCCTGACGGAGCTCTTTTGGAAAGGCATTCCAAAGTCGGGGGGCCGCCACAGAGAAAGCCCTGTCCCGTGTCCCCACCAAGCGCGCTTGCGACGTAGGTGGGATCACGAGCAGGGCCTCCCCAGATGACCGGAGCGAGCGTGTGGGTTCGTAGATGGAGATGTGGTCACGCAGGTAGGGTGGTCCCAAACCGTTCAGGGCTTTGTAGGTGAGCACCTGCACCTTGAATTGGGCTCGGAAAATAAATGGCAGCCAGTGGAGCTCCTTGAACAAGAGGGTTGACCTCTCTTGATAATGAGCTCCAGTTAGCATCCTAGCTGCTGCCCGCTGGACCAATTGAAGTTTCCGAGCCGTCTTCAAGGGCAGCCCCACGTAGAGCGCATTGCAGTAATCCATTCTCATGGATATTAGAGACATACTGTTCTACAATAACAGCTTACAAGGATGAATGGCAATCTGTCTTACAAATACATCGAGAAGACTGTGGAGTACAGACACTGAAGAGCCACCTTCACTATATCTTACCCGCAGTGCTATCACTTATCCCATCCTTGCAATCGGACTGAATGGCACTGATTTCTCCCTGCTGAAAGAAAGATGCACAAAGGTTTGTTTACAAACAAGAAAGAAAACATCACTGAGACTTCTAATCAACAAGCGCAAATTCCTGCAAAGAATAATGTCTGTGCAAAAGAACAGTTTATCTTTTCAACAGATAGCGCTGTAAGCCAACTGGAGATTTTGCAACATACCAACTGGTAAAGAGGCAGAGGTTGAATTGATTATATTTGTGTATCAAATGTAAACATGCACTTTCTAGTATTTAGTTGCTGGTCTTGTTAAAAACATGCTGGATTTATACAGAAAGTACTTTCTGTAAATGTGAAAGTTAACCAAGAAAAGAGAGCCAGTATGGTGTAGTAATTAGAGCATTGGACTAAAACTTTGGAAGTCAGGGTTCAAATTTCCACCTGGCCATGGAAACTGATTGGATGACCTTGAGACTCACTTTCTCAGAGAAAGGCAAGGCAAACCCCCTCTGAACAAATTTTGACAAGAAAATCCTGTGAAAGACTAGTTTTAGGGACACCGTTAATCAGAAATACCCTGAAGGCAGACACCAACAACACAACCAAGAAAAGATGCTAAAGCAAATGTAAAGTAACTTTCATATTAACAGTACGATAACACAAAAACCATGTTAATTATTCTTGGAAGAAGTAGTCATTTTTAATATGGTACTTTAATTTAAATTTATGATTGCCTCGAAAATGTAGTAATTAAAACAACTGAGTATTATTATTATTATTATTATTATTAATAATAATAATAATAATAATAATAATAACTGTATTTATACCCTGTTTTTCTTATCCCAAAGGGGAGTAAGAGCAGCCTTACAATAGGCAACAATTCAATGCCATATAAAACTCACATGTAATAAAAAGAACACACACATTATTAAAAACCATGCAATTGTTAAAAACCACACAATTTATTGTCAAAGGCTTTCATGGCTAGAATCACTGGGTTGTTGTAAGTTTTTTTGGGCTGTATGGCCATGTTCCAGAAGCATTCTCTCCTGATGTTTCGCTTGCATCTATGGCAGGCATCCTCAGAGGTTGTCAGGTCTACCTCTGAGGATGCCTACCATAGATGCAGGCAAAACGTCAGGAGAGAATGCTTCTAGACATGGCCATACAGCCTGAAAAACCTACAAAAAACCACACAATTTGTTTTTAGTAAAGCATCTCGAGGGTGTAGCAAAGGTAAACGTTTCCCCTTGACATTAAGTCTAGTCGACTCTGACTGAGGGGTGGTGCTCATCTCCATTTCTAAGCTGTAGGCACCTCCAAGGTCACGTGGCCAGCATGACTGCATGGAGCGCTGTTACCTTCCTGATGGAGCAGTACCTATTGGTCTACTCACATGCCGCTTGGAGTAGCACATAAGTCTCTATTTAAAACAGTGTTGGGCTGCATTTTTACCAGGATCATGTCATAGAAGCACTAAGCCTACCCCTGTGTGATACTGGGGAACCAATCCATTCAACACAGTAAGTGGGATGTATTTACATTGCACAATCATAGCATTTTGATAGCACTTTTATTGTCATGGCTCCAAATAAGGAATAATGACATACGTAATTGGTTGAGGGATTTGGAAACGTCTACTGCACTCCCTGTTATAGCATGGGAACTCTCTGGCAGAGAAATCACAAAACTACAAATCTCAGAATTCTACAGGATGGAGTCATGGTGTTGAAATGCTAAAATTATGTACTCCGAATACACCTCAGCTATATTTAAGAGACAATCACCGTATTTCTTTTTACGATCACTTTTGGCCGAAAGGCAACAAAGAGGTAGGTATAGTACTTTTGTATTGCCTCCAAGTCGACAAGGGCACTTGGGCTGATGAACAAATTAAAACATTCATGTTTAAATCAGAAGTGAGACTGGACAATGAATATTACCTTGGATCCCTGCTCGGCAAACAACGGCTGGCATTTCCCAGAAATTGGAGTTGAAGTTGTTGAATGCGGAGAGGACAGGTCATTAAACTGAAAAAGATGAATGCATTTGAGGGACACATACTGCTTCTTGGTAGGAGATGTCATTGCTCTTGGTTAGTTCCAAACAAGCGAAGACTACACATCAGTCATCTTTAGTTGGCAGGAAACATGCAGCCAGAGAGTCACCGAAGTAACGGTTCTGCTCAATATTGAACTTCAATTGCTATGGTTCAATTGCTATGCACCCCCATGCACAAAGCCATTTATACGAGTCCAAGAATTTTAAGCAAGTGGTTGAAAGGCAAAGACTGTCAAGCATTGGGATGAAAGGGGAACTTTTATAAGCTCCGCTTGCTCCAAACTTAGGATCCTGTCACATTCCCAACAGCCCTCCTGGAAAGCATTAACTAATCTGGGTTTTCAAAATCAGGCCACCCTATTTCTATCCTTGCAAGAATTCACTCATGAGGCACACATTTAAAAAAGGAACTGCGCAACCAGAAGCACCCCAGTCTATTCCCGACCGGACATTTCTGCTCCGTCCGCCACCCCGCCCCATCTATACATAGCAACGTGTTGGAAGTTGGACTTGGCTCTTTACCTGGATAGGACTGACTGGAGGTGGTGGTGGGGCTTTGCGTTTTTTTGGAGTTCCACTTCTTTCTGAACTTAATCTAGAGACTTGATCATGCTGGAAAGTTTCACAGGCCAGAAAAGGGAAGTATGTTAGTTGGTTAGTAAGGTCTGCGTTAAAAGTTATTTTTTTCTCCTTTTATTGGGAAAAACTTTTTAAAGTTGCAAGAAATTTTCAAAAACCATACATGCCTTTGCTGGTATAGCACACTGCTGTTATGACACATGCTTAACTATGAGCTCAACCTGCCTTCTTCCGATATTCATGCTTCAGCAAATTAAATGGAGTGAATAAAAGCACACACTTTCCCCACTGGATGGTGAGCTCAGATGCAAGGCTATTCATATCCCCAAGCAGTTTGCTAATCTTCCTGACAAATGCCAAACTCTCCCAGCAAAGCCAGAAAAAGGAGGTCTTCCTCCCTCTTATTCCAAGGTCATTCATGCTTCTGATTTTTTTAACGCTTCCCACATTGTTGTGAGTTTTGCAAAATATACAGCTACATAAACCCCAACTGTTTGGGTAATTGTTAAAATCCTCAAGTTATGGACAAAGGAACTTGTCATAAGAAAAAAATAATTCACAAATATATTCTGTTAGGTCAGTGTTTCTCAACCTTCCTAATGCCAGAACCCCATAATACAGTTCCGTATGTTGTGGTGACCCCCAACCATAACATTATATTTGTTGCTACTTCGTAACTAATTTTGCTACTGTTATGAATTGTAATGTAAATATCTGATATGCAAGATGTATTTTCATTCACTGGATCAAATTTGGCACAAATATCCAACATGTAAAAATTTGAATACTGGTGGGGTTGGGTTGATTTTGTCATTTGGGCGTTGTAGTTGCTGGGATTAATAGTTCACCTAAAATCAAAGAGCATTCTGAACTCCACCAATCATGGAATTGAACCAAACTTGGTGCACAGAACTCCCATGACCAACGGAAAATACTGGAAGGGTTTGGTGGGCATTGACCTTGAGTTTTGGAGTTGTAGTTCACCTACATCCAGAGAGCACCATGGACTCAAACAATGATGGACCTGGACCAAACTTGGCACGAATACTTAATATGCCCAATTGTGAACACTCCTGGAGTTTGGGGGGAAATAGATCTTGACATCTGGGAGTTGTAGGTGCTGGGATTTATAGTTCACTACAATCAAAGAGCACTCTGCACCCAGCCAATGACAGAATTGGGCCAAACTTCTCTCACAGACACCCCCTCACAACCCCCCCCCCCAGGCTGAGAAATGTCCAGTGGTTCTCAACCTGGGGTCCCCAGATGTTTTTGGCCTACAACTCCCAAAAATCCCAGCCAGTTTACCAGCTGTTAGGATTTCTGGGAGTTGAAGGCTAAAAACATCTGGGAACCCCAGGTTGAGAACCACTGTCTTAGTCCTTGGCCAAGTACGTGTTTAAATTTAATACACCACAATAAACTATTTTGAGCTTTCTGATGCTACACTGAATTGGCTTAAACACAATGCTAAAATTACATTAAGTTCGAAATGCAGATGGAAAATCTCAGCTTTCCTGATATTGCTCTACTGCACTCATCATTCCTAATGAGGTCATGCTGCCTGGGGCTCACAGAAGCTGGAATCTTACAACAGACGGGGGACCACTGGTCAGGCATGTAGCCGGGGGGGGGGGGGGGGGGGCTTGGGGGGTTCAGCCCCCCCCCCCCGAAATTCTCATGATGGTTCACGAAAAGGCCTTACTGGTGCATTATTTAAACTGTTATGTTTATTCATATCATGATCTGATCACCATACTCAATATATCCCATATGCATGGGGGTATTGGGGTAATGATACAAAAGGTTTGCTAGGGTAGACCCTCTTTCACTCAGACTCAGCGCCCCCCCCCCCTGAAACGAAATCCTGGCTACGGGCCTGCCACTGGTTCTCCACCTCTTAACTCTTGAGTCTTAGGTCATGTGCTGCTTTCTCTACTCTTCTCTTTTTTTGTGGGTGAGGTGGGATTTGAAACTTTTTGAAATAGTTAATTGTTACATCTTAACCTGAAACTGTAGCTAATCTTTAATTATGCTTTAGGTAGGACACATATGTCAAACGCAAGTCCTGTGGTACAAATCCTGCCCGCCATATTATTTTATGCGGTCTGTGAGTCTTTCACTGCCAGGGCAATGTAGCTACATTTATTAAGTTTTACAATTACAAATGGCTCTTTGAAGGCAACCATAAGACTGATGTGGCCCTCAGTGAAAATGAGTTTGACAACCCTTGGTTTATGGGAACAACTCAGCAGAAGATTTTATGTTATCTTACTTCCCCTATTCATAAAGGTAAAGGGTTTCCCCTGACATTAAGTCCAGTTGTGTCCAACTCTGGGGGCTGGTTCTCATCTCCATTTCTAAGCCGAAGAGCCGGGGTTGTCTGTAGACACCTACAAGCTCATGTGGCCGGCATGACTGCATGGAGTGTGGTTACCTTCCCGCCAGAGCTGTACTGGGGGGTGGTGCTAATCCCCATTTCTAAGTCGAAGAGCCAGCATTGTCCGTAGACACCTCCAAGGTCATATGGCCAACATGACTGCATGGAGTGCCGTTGCCTTCCTGCCAGAGCTGTACCTATTGATCTACTCACACTTGCATGTTTTAGAACTGCTAGGTTGGCAGAAGCTGGGGCTAACAGCAGGAGCTCACCCAGCTCCCCTGATTTGAACCTGCAACCTGTTGATTCACAATTTCAGCAGCTCAGCGGTTTAACCCAGTGCGCCCTTATCCATAGCTAATAACAAACATAATTTGGTACAAATTTGGGGGTTTTATAGTTCCAATTAGGGTATATTTAGAGGAAGGAAACTGTGGTGGAGTTTCAATTCTCCCTCCTGAGATGCATAACGAGGAAAATCTCAGTTGCATGGTGCATTTATTGTAGGACACCCACCAGCCCCCCGTGTTTTTGCACTATCACCTGTTACTAGTCATTCTGTTCTGATACCATAGCAAGCCAGAGACTGCTTCTGGGTAACGGGAAAAAATGGATAATGATAATCTATGGTCCACAATCCATGTTCTATATTTGCCTTTCTGAAAAATGCATGTCATGCCTTTGCTCAGTGGATTTGAACATCACATTGTTAGCCCAATTTGGTTAAGTGCTGTCCAAACAGCCTCAACTCCAATTTCTGCACACAAAGTGGAATCATACACCACAAAATGGCTTAAGAAATCAACCCATATTAGTAAACTAATTTTGTGCTTTCAAAGTCATTTGCAACTTACAGTAACCTGAAGGCAAACCTATCATGGGGTTTTCTTGGCCAAGTTTGTTTAGGGAGGATTTGCCATTGCCTTCCATTCAATCCTGATACAATCACAATCAGTTTGCAGGAGCCAATAAAGGAATTCAATAAAGCTGCACATAGAGCTCAAAACACTGACAGATTGGAATTCCTAAGTATTTATTTATCTAAAAGTGTAAGTGTCTTAGTTCGTTTTACCTGTTTTGACCTTGCTGGTGACTTGGCATCTGCAAAAGAGAAAGAGAATACTACGCTTTATACATACAATATGAGATATTTGAGAGATGTTTGATATATTTACAGTTTAACCTTAAACCCATGGTTATTTAGAAGTCAATCACATTGATATCAACAACATTCACCTTGATATCAATATTGTTTATTATTTATCTGCTTTTATTTTTAATTATTATTTTAAACCTATCTAAAGACCTATCTTTTCCAGCAGGCCTACTCAGCTAATTTGAAGCATGAATGCTAAACTCGTTTCTTGTGGTACTTAATTTGTGTATCTTAATATGTATTTTATAGAAATACGATTTAAATATGTATTTTTATAGAATATATTTTAATTTAAAATGTTTTTTGTATTGTCGAAGGCTTTCATGGCTGGAATCACTCAGTTCTTGTGGGTTTTTTCGGGCTATATGGCCATGTTCTAGAGGCATTTCTCCTGACGTTTCGCCTGCATCTATGGCAAGCATCCTCAGAGGTGAGGTCTTCCCCCCCTTCTTCCCAATTCCAGCAGACCTCAACTCTGAGGATGCTTGCCATAGATGCAGGCGAAACGTCAGGAGAAATGCCTCTAGAACATGGCCATATAGCCCGAAAAAACCCACAAGAACTGAGTAAAATGTTTTTGCGTTTTAATTATGCTGAAATCTGCCTCGAGCCATGAGGAGAGGTAAGTAAGAAATTAAATTATTATTATTTGATACAAGAGTAGTACGCAGCAAACAAGATCACTATGCTGGCTTTTGTATTCATTCACATGTTGGACACTTCCCAAGTGTCTAGGACTGTGTGATGTATTGGTGAATAATGTGTGCAGATCCCAGTAGGGTGGCCTTTTGCAGCTGACAGATGGCAATTGTTTTTAAGTGCAGGCCAAGGTCTTTAGGCATTGCATCCAGTGTGCCGATCACTACTGGCACCACCTTTACTTGGCTTGTGCCAGAGTTTTTCAGTTCTATATTTAAATCCTCATATCATGTAAGCTTTTCTAGTTGCTTCTCGTCAATTCTGCTATCACCTGGGATTGCAACACTGATGATCCATACTTTGTTTTTTCCCCACGATTGTGAGGTCAGGAGTATTGTGCTCCAATTGTCAGTCTGAAGTCCCCAAGTAGTTCATTTTCTGTAGCTTTTTCAGACTTGTGATCCCACCAGTTCTTTGTCACTGGCAGATGGTATTTGTGGTACAAGTTCCAATGGATCATCTGAGCAACAGTGTTATGCCTCTGCTTGTAGTCCGTCTGCGCGATCTTCTTGCAGCAGCTGAGCATGTGATCCATCATTTCTTCTGCTTCCTTGCAGAGTCTACCCTTGGGATCTGTTGTTGACTTTTCAATTCTGGCTTTGATGGCATTTGTTCTAATTGCTTGTTCTTGGGTTGCGAGAATCAGGCCCTCGGTCTCCTTTTGCAAAGTTCAATTGTGAGCCACATCCATGTTTTTTCCATTATTATTAAAAGGTAAAGGTTTTCCCCTGACACTAAGTCCAGTCGTGTCTGACTCTGGGGTGTGGTGCTCATCTCCATTTCTAAGCCGGAGAGCTGGTGTTGTCCGTAGACACCTCCAAGGTCATCTGGCTCGCATGGCTGCATGGAGCACCGTTACCTTTCCGCTGGAGCGGTACCTATTGATCTACTCACATTTGCATGTTTTCGAACTGCTAGGTTGGCAAAAGCTGGGGCTGACAGCAGAAGCTCATGCCGCTCCCCGGATTCGAGCCTGCAACCTTTCTGTCAACAAGCTCACCAGTTTAACCTACTGCGCCACCAAGGGCTCCATTGTTATTATTCCTTGTAAATTTCGCTCTCATTTATTTCCAGGAACTGTTATTATTATTTATCCAAACTATATCCTACTTTTCTGCTTATGCAGGACTCATTGTATGCTGCAGGATTTATAGAGAAATGCATGTAGAAAATTACAGACTCACAACCGAACCTCTGTGTGCTTTATATAATGCATCTATCCTTCAGCAAACACTTTTTGGAGTCTAATCAAATTATTTGTTACAATAGCCCACTGTAAACAATCTATTATAAAACTGCTTTTCATTGTAACCCCTAAACTTGCTCTCCCCATTTGTCTTCAATTATGCTAAAAGAAGCATTTGTCACAAAGATTTAATTATAATTCTTCTTGATAACCAATACTGGAAGATTTTATAGTACATCTGAAGCTTGGTTCAGTGTGAAACATAACTTTGGCTGAAACATTAAGGCAAGCAAAACAGACCAGGGAGCAAAAGAACGCAAACACAGCTAGTGCCATTTTAGGAAGAGTTGAAGAAACTTAGACATACCAGCGTCTTGAACAATTTTTGACTGAAGGAGGCTCTGAACACTGGTATTTTCAGAGAGCATGGCATAATGTAGGGCATTGTGTCCAAGTGCGTCAGCCAAATTTACATCCGCGCCTTTTCGGATCAGGGCTTCCACAATGCTGAGATTTCCAGCTTCACATGCCAGCATGAGAGCAGTTCTGGAGAAAGTAGGAAGACAGGCAACATAAAGAAGAGCAATGGGGATAGGAGACTAACTGTGTAAGGTAACTCCTACAGGTCAAACATATCCAAGTTCAAAACAGTGCAAAAGACTACCCATCTGATTCACTTCTAGCCTGAAGAGAGCCCACAGACAGAGAAAATGTCTGAGAACAGGACCTGTGTGTATAACATCCATGACATACATACATACATATATGCGTGTATATATGTTTTGTGTATAAACAGCATGTCTTAAACAGGGATGTGGAGTTGCATTTGGAGTCAAGGAGCTGGAAGCACTTCTGGGCAAATTGAGTTGATAGGAATATACTTATTTTGATTCCAGCCTCAAAATAACTACTTACATTATTCCATGTCTATTTTGTTGCACACTTCATTGGGATTCTGGAAAGTGTTCTTGTTCAGAAAATGTAATTAAATAAATATATATCCTATGTTTCAACATATAATGTCTAAATGTGTTTTTATTACTACTGTTGTTGTCATCTACTGAGTGCCGGTTGTGAGCCTCCCTGAGTCAACCCTCAAGGGTGAGAAGGATGGGATATAATAATAATAATAATAATAATAATAATAATAATAATGATGATGATGTCAGATTCTATCAACCTAAGTAGCCTTATGATTCTAATGGTGGAGATGAATTGTCCCATGCTACCACTTTACTGCAGGAAATCTATCATTACCAATTAATACACATTTGCCATTTATGAAGAAGTGAGAGTTGGGACAGGAGAAATGGCGATAAGTTATAATCTAAGTCAGGGATCCACAAATTTTTTAAGCAGAGGACCAGGTCACAGTCCTTCAAACTGTTGGAGGACCAGATTATAATTTGAATGAATATATATATATATATATATATATATATATATATATATATATATATATAGAGTAAAATTCCTATGCACATTACACATATCTTATTTGTAGTGCAAAAAAAACAATACAATAATTAAAATGAAGAACAATTTTAACAAATATAAACGTATTACTATTTCAATGGAAAGTGTGGGCCTGCTTTTGGCTGATGAGATAGGATTGTTGTTGTTGTGCTTTCAAGTCGCTTCAGACTTAGATTGACCCTGAGCGAGGGCCGGGTAAATGACCTTGGAGGGCCGTATCCGGCCCCCGGGCCTTAGTTTGAGGACCCCTGCTCTAGCGTTTCCAGAAATTCCAGAGCCTTGGTCTTGGGGTGGAACCATATTAGAATGTGTGTTTCAGTCTCTGCATGGGGAAATGCCTTATACTCAGCCAGAGACATGGTCCACCTAACAAAACAACTTTATACTGTTGGCATTGGCTGAAAGCAGCTTTTCAGGATTTCATACTGGATTCTCTCCAACTTCTACCTGTAGGAAGCTAGAGCAGGCATAGGCAAACCTGAAATTTTGGACTTCAACTCCCAAAAATCCCAGCCAGTGGGAGTTGAAGTCCAAAACATGCCTGCTCTAGCTTCCACAGGTAGAACTGGGAGAGCATTGGACATGAAATCTTGAAAAGCTGCTTCCAGTCAATGCCAACAATATTGGTATGTTATGTTAGATGGACCATGGCTCTGACTGCTTATAAGGCATTACCATATGCAGACCCAAACTCTCGTCTCAACTGTACTTAGCTGTAAAGAATTACAGGCTTAGATCCCATGCAAGCATAGCTTTTGCATGTTAGCATGTAAGCCTGGAATGGCTTTATCTTGCAGGCAAGATGTCCTGGGGACGAGGCCATATTTTGGCCTACAGCTCCCTCAACCAGCATGGCCAATGATAAGAGACAGCACACAGAACTCTATTTTAACTTTTGTGGTAATACCTTCTTGGCAAAAACCTGTTAAAAGCATAGATGGCATTACATACTTCAGTATACCAGAAGCCTGGTGGGAGGTGCAAAAAGCACACAAAAAGAGTGAAAATATTGAAAGGGAGAACTGTGGTGATAATGCTGAATTTTTCCAAAATGGGTTTCTCACCAAGAAGAAAGAAATGGCTTTTACAAAGGCATCATTTTACACATAGCTTTCAAGCCAACGTACCAAAGACAGTTAAGAGCTAGTTTATTCACATCTAAGTCATGGTGTAAAACACTTCTAGTGAGCGAATGAATAAGATAAACAGCACAAAGTACACAGTAAAGAAAAATAAGCTCTTCTTGTCCAAATATTTTAATTATGGAAAAAGCAAAGGCTACTTCTCCAAAATCTGAAAAAAAAAACAATTAGGGCACAAATCTGGTTGGCATATGTTGGGGACAACCTAGATGTCAAGAGAAGTTACTTTTCTGTTGCTAATACAGTTGAGGTATTACCTATTTTACATTGTCTCTTGTCCCTATTTCTCAAGTGGCTGAAAAAGACTTCTGACTGCATTGAAATCCCTCCAGAGTCCAGACCATCTTAACTGACAGGAGGTGACATCTGAGGCAAAATGTTACCTAATTCAGACAGTAGTAAAGTTTTGAAATCTTGGAATTTTTTTTGGTACATTTTAGTTGGCCCAGTAAAAGTTATTACTGTTTGGTGTATTTTGTTTCATTTTGTTGCAATTCAGTGAAGTTCATGCAAATATCAGCTATACTATTTGACTAAAACTGAAAAGGTTCCGAAAAAGCCCAAGAAAAGTAAGTTACTTTAGTATTGCATGCCTTTTAAACTTTTTTTTACTTACAGCAACCCCCCAAAAAAGCAAAAACAAAACTATTGTGGGGTATTCTTGGCAAGACTTGTTCAAAAGGGTTTGCCTTTGCTTTCCTCTGAAGCTGAGAGAGTACGAGTTGCCAAGGTCACCCACTGGTTTTCTGTGTCTGAATGGGTATTTGAACCAGTCCCCAGAACCGCAATCCAATACTCAAACCACTACATTGCACAGGCTCAGGTTTAGTAATACCTTCCATTTTTGTCCCTGGAATTGATATCTGCTCCATGTTCCAGAAGGTATTTGCATGCTTCTGTGTGCCCATTTTGTACTGTAAGTAACAAAGAGATATTCCCATCCTAGCAGAAGGAAAAAGAGATGAAACACTGTAAGTTAGTCATTTAAGCAAATTTTAAGATATTATGGTTATTTCAGAAGCATATACAGTGTTCCCTCACTTATTGCTGGGGTTATGTTCCAGGATCTAAGTGAAAAACCATGATGTAGGGATGCTCTATTTGTTTTAATATTTATACATTAAATAACTACTTAAAGTAGTTATACACTATTTTAAGTCTTTATAAACTTAAAATAAAGTGAAGGAAAGGAAGAAAAGGCCCTTCAAGGCTGGAGGGAGGACTGAGGAGGGAAAGTGCCTTGGAGATTGGCAGTGGCAAAACCCCACAAAACAGCAAAAATACCATGATATTTATTTTAAATTAATATTTTTTAAAATCCGTGAAACAGCGAGGCCGCAATAAGCGAACCGCGAAGTAGCGAGGGAACACTGTACTACAAACCAGAACCATACTTCATATATATGAGAAACTATCACGTATACACAAAACTGTATTGTGGGGACATTTCTAGAAATGCATGAAAATATTGGTGCGCACAATTTATTTATTTATTTTATTCTGGTCATGGACCGTAATAAATGTTTATTATTATTAATTTGTCTTCTTTTGCCTCTCTCAGAAATCTGTGGATTACAATAGATGGGTTTTTTTAGAAGTTTAACCAAACAAATTGCTCAATCACTGAGTAAGAGCTAGTCAAGGACCAACTGATACTAATTTTGACAAGGTCTTTGTGCACAATTGACTGACTTAGAAGAAGCAGCTATCTGCAGACTCATCTGGTTCCTTCTCTTTCAGTTCAAACTGGTCATTATAAAACACTGACATTTTTAAGAAACGGGCTGAATTGGTTTCTGAGCTTTAGCACAGCTGGTTAATCGCCAGCAGCAATAGATCTTACCAGTCAAAAGGTTGGCAGTTCGAAGCCCGGGTCAGGGTGAGCACCTGACCTTCAGCCCGGCTTACTATCCACTAAGCAGTTCAAAAACAGTTTTGAGCTGTGAGTAGAGAAATTAAGCACCACTTAAGTGGGGAGGTATTTTACGGCACCATAAAGGAAATACCACCGGGATTGTGGTGCAGCTGGCTGAGTGTCAGCTGCATTAAGATCACTCTGACCAAAAGGTCATGAGTTCGAAGCCAGCCCGGGCTGGAGTGGGTGTCCAGCCATTGTGTAGCCTGTTGTCAACCTTTGCAACCCGAAAGACAGTTGTATCTGTCAAGTAGGAAAATAAGGTACCACCTTGTGTGGGAGGCTAAATTAACTAATTTATAAAGAAAAAAGACTCTGGGGAATGTGGAATGCGGAAGAACTTCATCAGTGTCGCTGATGGATGATGAAAAGCAGCAGCTCCCCTGGCGGCCAGAAAAAAAAAAGTTAAATAGCCTCGGTGTATTGTCTGTTATATGTTTGTCAAACTGGCATTGAATGTTTGCCATATATGTGTTTACTGTAATCCGCCCTGACTCCCCTGCGGGGTGAGAAGGGCGGAATATAAAAACTGTAAATAAATAAATAAATACCAGAACATGCTGGCAATCAAAGGAAGGAGGAAGTCTGTGATGAAAGGCTCTTCATCATAGAGGATGGAGCGACAGCACCCCCTGTGGCTGAAATTGAGCACAACCTCCAGGACGCCGAAGTTGTGAAAAGTGCTGATATAATACCATCTGTTGTCTGTCCCGTCTGTTTAACGGCATTGAATGTTTGCCGTGTATGTGTTCTGTGATCCACTCTGAGTCCCCTTTGGAGTGAAAAGAGTGGAATATAAATACTGTAAATAAATTTCCTTCCTTTCTCCTCATCCCTTGTTGCTTTCATGTCACAACAACTTGTGGTTGAAGAGCAGGGTAAAAATCGTTCTTTCCAATGGAGCCACTCTCACAGAGCAAATGTGAAAACACAAAATCAACCACTCATAATCTCTGTAACTCCCATGTTGTAACTCCAATGTCGGAGATCCCTGTTAAGGCAGGCTGATAGTTTATATAGGAGGCGAATCTACTGTTTGAAAGGGGCAAGAAGCTATGCAATATACAGATACAGGTTTCTTTTCCAGACACTCTGCAGGCTAACTGGAAGTCATGTAGGGGACCAGCAAGAAGTTAATTTACCATAAAGAAAAGAAAAGAAATTGAATTAACCGCAAGCAACAATCCTAAAAGTTTCTAGAACAAGTTTTCATGAATAGAAATATAAGTAATAGCTTTTTCCCCAAAAATCTCTGTTTCCCGAGAGAATGAATACACACCGCATCTTTGACGTTAATTGGACATTTGTGTTCACACAAGAGCTGAATTCCTTGAAGGCAGCCACACGCAGCTTAAAAACAACAAGAGTTGAAGAATTAAAAGGTTAAAAAAACACCTGTCAGATATACAAAAATACAATGAAAAGTATAGCATTACCCTAAAGATTATAAAATGAATGATAGTATGAATGAATGATTTTAATGGGTTATGCCATAACTCAGAGGTAAACAAGTTTTGCCCACCAGATATTTTGCACTGTAACTCCCCTGATCCTTGACTACTGATCATGGTGGTTAAGGCATTTTATATGGCTTGAAATATTTAAAGGGTACTAGGTGATCTACTCCTGTCACAATATATTTGTTCTTCTTCATGGTTTAGTAAGGTGCTTAGTTCAATGCAAAGGTGCTTATGAGATACTTAGAAAAGAGCCCATTCAATTGCATTTTTTTTGCACTGGCTCCTATAGGCATGTTAATATTAAGAAAAAGGCTTATAAAGGACTGCAATTGCACTCTTATCCTACACAAAAATAAAACAAATTAGGAATGCTGGAATGCTGATTGAGCCTTTCAGTCTGTCTCCAGCAGTGACCAACCAAAAATTAAGGTCATCATCATTACATCTGATATTCATTAAAGTTGGAAAAATTACTTATTGGATTACAATTCCAAGAATCTCCAAAGCAATTGGTATCTGGGAATTGTTGTCACCCAAGAAAAGAATGCAACTGGGGAACCATGCTTGTATACTTCCTGGTTGCAAAATTGGGTTGTTCGTTCTTCAACTTGTGTAAGGAGGTATTAAATTCCTCTATATCTCTAGCAATGCAATGATAGAACATGCACATTGATCCAGCAAGTGTACACAGCTTTGCTTTCCCTTTCCACAGACTGTCTTGTGAGGTGCACTGTAATGTTCCCACCCACAAGATAGAACTACCTGCTGCATCACCATCAGGTCAGGCACTTCTACCCTACCTCTTAAGGCAGTGGTTCTCAACTTGTGGGTCCCCAGATTTTTTGGCCTTCAACTCCCATAAATCCTAACAGCTGGTAAGTTGGCTGGGATTTCTGGGAGTTGTAGGCCAAAACACTGGGGGTCCGACAGGTTGAGAACCACTGTCCTAAGGTTTGTTTTAGATATTCCAATTCCACATATTTATCTTGACCAGAGCTTTCTGCTCCACAGGACCTCAATCCCTAGCCCCAAAGAACTTAAACCATCTTGGGTCCCATGTTGAGAGAAAAGTGGGAGAAAAATAAAAGGGAATCCAATTTTCCAAACCCAAATGAAATTGAAAACATGGACGAAGCAAGGGCAGGGATCTAACAAGAATGTAATGGTACAGGCAAGGTACCTGCATAATGTAAAGCTGTTTTCCCAGAGTTGTCTATGTTCTCAGTTTGACATTTAGCCTGTAGAAAAGGAGACAAAAAAAGGTGAGGTAAGGAAAGAAAAGCATTTTTGTGATAAGTACATTTTCTTTTGTCTTCCAAAGAACAACAAAAAATCCTTCCAATAATCAGTACGAAAAGGGGGAAAAGAAGGGTAAGATGGGGACCATAAAAAGATATAGCATATATGTTGTGGAGCCATGCAAGTTAAGATCATTTGGCTGCAAAGAATTTTCAAGTTTCCTATCATTTTTGGTGAATTGCTTTTATGAAGGTACCAAAGAAGTTCTGAATGGCACTGAAATCTTCTTAATGAGTGCTACTTGAGCCATATGAGCCCCCAGTGATGCATCGGGTTAAACGACTGAGCTGCTAAACTTGCTGACCAAAAGATCAGTGGTTTGAATCTGCAGAGGAATGTCAGCTCCCGCTGTTAGCCCTAGCTTCTGCCAACCTAGCAGTTTGGAAACATGCAAATGTGAGTAGATTAATAGGTACTGCTTTGGCAGGAAGGTAACAGTGCTCCATGTAGTCATGCCAGCCACATGCCCTTGGAGGTGTCTATGGACAACGGCGGCACTTTGGCTTAGAAATGGAGATGAGCACCAACCCAGAGTCAGACTTGACTAGACTTAATGTCAGGGGAAAACTTTTACCTTTACTTGAGCTACATAATGTGGGGGACCAGCAGAAGTTTCCTTCCAGTTTTCCAATAATTTAGGAATACAACTGTTTCTTTCTTCCTTGTGGATAGAAAGCCAATAACTAGCAGACTAGCACAGATTGCCACTTTGAGCAGCACTGTTTTAGAAGACTGGCACAAATATGGTTTTAGGGTGGAAACTTAGGACACCTCTACAACAGGAATGGGCAAACTTGGGCTGTCCAGGTGTTTTGGACTTCAACTCCCACAATTCCTAACAGCCTCAGACACTTTCCCTTTCCCCCTCAGCCGCTTAAGTGACTGAGGCAGTTAGGAATTGTGGGAGTTGAAGTCCAAAACACCCAGATGGCCCAAGTTTGCCCATGCCTGATCTATACTGTAGAATTAATGCAGTTCGACACCACTTAAATTGCCATGGCTCAATGCTGTGGAATCATGTGCATTGTAGTTTTGTAGGATCTTTAGCTTTCTCTTCCAAAGAGTGCTGATACCTCAGCAGACTATAAATCCCAGGATCCCATAGCACTGAGCCATTTCAGGAAAGTATTGTCAAACTCCAATAATTTACAATGTTGAGGTAACCTTGCTTTATTTTGTAGCCTTAGTGTTGAAGGAAGAGCTTGAAAATGCTATTTTGGGAAGCTGAAATTCTCAGAACGCTCCAGTCAGCATGGTTAAGGGAATTCTGGGGGTTGTAATCCCCCCACCACCACTATTCTTCCAAGCACTTGATCTACAAGGACGATGAGCAGATTATCCTTGGCTTGTTAAAAGTGGAAGTACAGCCTAAGCAAGAGATGTGAGTAATGGCATAAAAATGGACTCGAAAATCTGTAGAGAAAACATAAGGTCTGTCTTATGTCTAATAGTTCTTTCCAAAAAGAAAATGAAACCCTTCTCACAGGTAAACATGAGGAAGGTATTTGAATATCAATATACATACAAATATAGAGGCCAATCCATCATTTCAGACACACTACCAAATGCATTAGCAGACAAATCAGACAAGAACTATTTTTAGTTGGGAAACTGAACCATCTTCCAGAATAAACACGGTGTTTGTTTTGGCAACTACAACACTCATTACTCTTTAGTCCCACATTCAAACAGTTCTCCCAGATGCTACATCGTGTATACATACCATATGTATCTATAGTGGATCCCTACCTACTAGATCGTCATAGCCAACATCAAGCTGTGGCTCAGGCTTCAAGATCAATCCTACCTTTCTCTGTTGGCAGACAAAGCTCTGCATACTACACAAAGTATTTTGAGTTTCCTTGCAAACTAGTCTGTTGTGGATACTTTCTTATTGCCAGTAGTAGAATAAGACTATTGGATACCAAACTATTGGATACCAAACCAAGAAACATCAAGGTTGGTTTGACAAAAATGACAACGAAATCCAACAGCTATTTGACAAGAAAAGGAAAGCCTTCCAAACATTGCAGAGAGACATCAACTGTGCTGCTAAAAAAAAAAAAAAAGATCTACGCCAGTGCAAAAGCTGAGGTCCAAGAAAGGACAAGAGAACTCAAGAACATCTGGTGGACAAAGAAGACTGAAGAAATCCAACACCTGGCAGGTAAACATGATGCTCAGGGATTTTTCAAAGTCACAAAGGTCATCTATGGACCAAGAAACCATGGCATACAGCCTCTACACTCATCAGATGGAACCAAACTTCTGAAGGACAAAAATCAATTGCACTACGTTTGAAAGAACACTACCAAAGTCTCCTGAATCGCAGCTCCAATGTGGTCAAAGAGGTTCTCTCACAAATCTCACAACAAACTAGGGATGAGCTTGCAGTACTGCCTAGTTTGGAAGAAGTCAGCAATGCCATCAGCCAACAAAAAATAACAAAACAAAACGAAAACCAAGTAAAGTAAGAGCACTCCAATCAACTTCTATGCATGCATTATGGAGACTGACTGCATCTTATCCTCAGAAAGCCAAAGTCTTGTTTCACTCCTACCGACATCATTTAACTAGTTTTCAATAACTGAAGGAAACCAACGAAGGACAACTTTGTTTAAGGCTCTCTTGATTCTCATGGTCACAGGGTGCTTTATTAACACGATGAAGGATTTGACGGCAGACTCTTTTAACTCCCCCTTAAGGCTGTCTTAAAGAAAAACTTAAAAGCCTCCTTGTGTTTACCAGGAAATGGAAGTGTTACTGGAGAGAAACAAATGTAGATACTTCACCTGAAGCAGCCTCTTGATGCAATCTGGGTGGCTGTTCTTGGCAGCAAGATGTAAAGCGCTGTGCCCTGTGTAAACAGAAATCAATTTTAGATACTGAAAGTACAGTGAGATGTGTACAAAAATGGCACTTAGAATTTGGAGTAATGTGCAAGGAGTTTGCAGAGGATGACTGTGCCTCTCCAGAATAGGAGAACTTGCTTGTTCTCTGTTTAAGTGTACTGGTGATAAGGTGGTCAGTAGAGACCATGTTGGTTGGAGGATTTGAGGAGCTACAGCTCTCTCAAACTCCTTTTTCAAGTGATGTGTGTGTCCTGGATATGGGGGTAAATAAATGTATGTCAGGGAAGTCTTTTAATAAATGTATGTCAGGGAAGTCTTTTAATAAATAACAATTAAAATAGCTTTTAATTGTTATTTATTAATACGTATGTTATTTTTTAATTGTATTAAGTTGATAACTCTTTATTGTTTGTTGTTTTTCCTATACTATTTTTGTATCTGTCACTTGTTGTAAGCCACCCCAAGTCCCTTCAGGAAGAGGAGTATAAATAAAATTGTATTATTATTATTATTATTATTATTAGTGCATAGCACCAACAAAAGTTCGGTATAATAATGTCTTAAAATAGTCACAAAAGGAATCCATTTGCGCATGTAGCTTGCTAAAAATTAAAGTTTAATGCATCTAGCGTGCCAAAAACTCACTACCTCCCTTCAAACCATTGCTAATGGATTAGAATTTGTGTATATCTATCATAATTCAGCAGCTTCTCTTTCCAATATTCCTTTAATTTTGTTGCTGCCGCCGAAGAATTGCTAACTTGGAGATCTGATCTGATGTCTGGGAAGGCTCAGCCTTCTACAACTGCTTTTGAGAATATTTCAATTTCTAACGTCATATTTGTTTCTCATTTATCCTCTGACATACAGAATACTTTTTGTCAGCATGTGTGTGTCTGTGCCTTCAACCTGCCTGTCAACTTACAGCAAACCCATGCATTTCATAGGGTTTTCTTAGGCAAGGAATACTCAGAGGTGGTTTTTGCAAGTTCCTTCCTCTGAAATATAGCCTACAGCATCTGGCCTTCATTAATGGTCTCCCATGTCTACTCCAGGCTGTACATGGGGTCAAAATGAAAATGCTATTAGTCCCTCTCATCAATTTAAGCAGAGGTCCACTTAAAGTATCTGACAAAACCATGCTGACTGAGCTTAAATCATTGCGCATTTAAAGATTTACATTTACAGATCTGCATTAAAAAAAAAACCAGTGGTTCTGTAGTTCTTAGACCAAAAAGAGGCTAGCGTGGATTTGAAGAACCTGCACTCAGTTGTCAATTCTTGTAGAATACAGGAACTGATTTCTGTCACTCAGACCTCAATGCACATTTTTGAAAAATTGAGTCCAAACGGTTTTTTTGGGGAAAAGACATGCTTGGGTGCTGTAGTTCATAAGAGGAGTGTGTGATGCTTTTATTTGAGATGACTAGAGAGATCGCACCCTGAAGAGCAGTTACTGATTAGAGGAAATAACCATGACTAAGGCACCTTAACAACTCAATCCAAAATATTCTCTCTCAATCTGATGGTAACTAGATGTGTTGGACATGCTGGCTGGAGGTGATGAGGTTGTAATTCAGGGCGTATTACAATCAGTTGGGGAAGATTGATGTAAGGCACCTGCATATGTTCATATATAAGTCTAGCCTGAAAAAGTCAACTATTTGTATATGCTGAGAAAAATAAAAGTGAGAGAAACACATACAAACACATGCATACCTGTCCCATCCTGTGAAGTTACATCCGCACCATGTGCCAACATGACCCTGATGCATTCTCCATGACCTTTGGAAGCAGCCAGGTGAAAACTGGAAAGGAAAGGAAAGGTTACAACTCATCTGGTTGTACCAGCTCATATGCATCTTCATCTTATCTTAGATCACTACAATATAAAAAAAACCCCAATATGCAGTATTTGCAATACACAATATCCTCAGACAAATAAAACAATGCATGAAATAAATATATGATAATTTATTTTTGGTCTATATCAGTGGTTCTCAACCTGTGTATCTCCAGGTGTTTTGGGCTACAACTCCCAGAAATTCCAGCCAGTTTTCCAGCTGTTTGGATGTCTGGGAGTAGATCCATCTTAATAGGACGACTGACCACGGTAGTTTTATATATAGAGTTTTTAAAGTTGTTTTTGTAATTGTGATATATGATATTTTAATGAGTGTATATGTTTTTTATGGCTGGAAACCGGGCTGAGTCCCTCAATGAGGTTGAGAAGCTCGGTATAGAAAACTGTGAAATAAATAATAATAAATAATTGAAGGTCAAAACATCTGGGGACCCAGAGGTTGAGAACCACTGGTCTATATGGAATACATGGGAGGCTGCAACTGTAATGCAAAAAATACTTAAGAACCTAAGAATTTGTGGTCAGGTCATTCCATGAGCAACGTGGGGAACTGCAAGTCACTTCTGGTGTGAGAGAATTGGCAGTCTGCAAGGAGGTTGCCCAAGGGACTCCTGGATGTTTGATGTTTTACCATCCTTGTGGGAGGGTTCTCTCATGTCCCCGCATGGGGAGCTGGGGCTGACAGAGGGAGCTCATCCACGCTCTCCCTGGATTCGAACCGTCAACCTGTCCATCTTCGGTCTCACCGGCACAAGAGTTTAACTCATTGCGCCACTGTGGGCTCCTCACAAAGTGGGTATCAACTCATTAAATGTCCTTCTCTGAACAACTGAAATTAAGACTCAGTATCACACAGAACCATGAAGGTGGGACACTCCAGATGCCTCACGGACCAAGCAGGGCTACAAAGGAAAAGACAGTTATCTTGTGATTTTAAAATTCTTCACACATCTATTCTCAGTACAGTAACCCTTATGATTACATTTGCATTGCTTTTCAATACAGAGCACTCCTTGGAAAAATGAAAAGGCCTTGTAGTAAGCTGTGTAGCGCAGTTTAACATAGATTAAGATGTCTGGGAACCATTGCCACTTGTCTCTTTCAGAAAGGGAGTTGTCAAGTGCACAGGGTTCATATATAATATCAAGCATACTACTCAATACATTCTTGAGCATACTTAATGCTAACCTGACTCAAGAGGCAGAGTATAGTCAGGTGTTTATAAAAGCCTACAAATCGCTATCAGGGGAAAAATGAGTAATTTACACACACATACAATGTTGATCCCTGATCAGCTTAACAGTCCTTTTTAGGTATTTCACGGTCTAGAAACTCTCTCCACAACTCCCACCCACTCTCCCTTGGGATGGGCAGGCTTTTCCACATTCAACTGCAAGGAGCTTCATTGTTCATGTGGGTTATGGAGCAGAGAGGGTAATTTCCTTCATATCGAAGGTGGAGGGCTGAAGCAAGAAAGGCAATGACTCAGCTCAAGACCACCTACAGAGATGGGATTTTCACCGGTTTTCAAATGCTGGGAGGAAAAGCTTGTGTGTTTTGTAAGAAAGGGAGAGTAAAAGTCCTACACAAGAGGAAAGGAATGTTTGAAGCACAATGTAATAGTAATTATACAACAGTATTCAAATAAAAAATATGGAATAGCTTTGTACCATTCGACTCATCCACAGCAATGAAGCTAAATATTAGTGGACTTGGTCAGGTACTCAACAAGAAAACAAGTGACAACTTCATGAAAAAGTGTCACATAAATATACAGATAATACACACACACATATAACACAGAATCAGCTTCCAAGTAGCATATTAAAAGTGACAGCAGTATCAGTAATGTCATTTTGGGAGGCAACACACAATTCACTACATAAATACGGTTAATGCTGAGTTGTTTTGCTGCAATGTAAACGTTACTTGTTTTTAGGTGATCCTTTTGTAGGGGATTTCTTGAGGTTCTGCTATTTTAATGGCTTAAAAATGATGATAATTAACCCAAAATTCACAAATGTTGCAACTGGGTGGGACTGGAATCTGGATCTCTCAAATACCAGTTTAACCACCGATACTGGCTCACTTACCAATTAAATGTAAGACTAAAAGGTACTATGTAAGATTATTTTCTGTGTTGTAGTTTCACTTCACATTTCCTCACTTCTAATGAAGCAACACAAACATGTAATGGCAATGCATGTGTTATGAAGGGGAAACTGTCAGTGGTAGGGGGATAGCAGTAGCCCCATGTGGGACCCTGGAGACCCACTGCAAATCATGCCTTCAACCTGTCAATGAACATTATAATAGGTTAAGTCTGATGGGGAGGTATCCAAAAAGGAAAAGATTTTTTAGATTTCCATGTTTTGCCTGTCCCTAATGCATATGACCTTATACATTACAGGATAGGGTTCATCATGAGGAAGGATGTGAATTTGGTGGCAGCTCCATGGTATGCTCAGTGTGAAGATCCCTTACCTTGCCAGTCTGGGTGGCAGGGCCTGGGAGAGGCAGGCTAGTTAGTTTCAGCCTTGGAGGGCCTGGCAGAGGGCTGCAGGAGCCATTTTAGTTTAGGGAAAGCTCCATTTCAGAGAGGGGGAGTGGCCTAGGCCTGAGCCAGCCTTAGAGCAGCCAGGATTGGTTTATTAAAGGGGGGCGGAGTTAGACTGTTTGGAGGGAAAGAAATAAGCTTTTTTGAGTGAGTCAGTCTGGTTGATGTTAGAGTTAGAGCAGGATTACAGAATTAGGAGTTCGTGATAAGAATAGGCAGTTTGCCTGAAGTTTGCCAGCGAAGTAAGCTGTGGCAAACTGGGTACAGCTATTTAGGGAAAAATAGCTGGGTTTTATATTTGTAACAAAGAAAGAACCATTCTCATGCAACCGTTACGCTTTCAAGAACCAGAACATTTTATCTGTAACAGCCAAGCTTACTAAACAGCATTTACATTCTCTTCTGTACTATATCAATAAACTTTACTTGATTATTTTTAAAACCTAAAACAGCCTGAGTCAAGTGTACATTTGTGGATTTAGTCCATTTTCCTTTTAAATCAACCTCACCTGTTTTCCTTCAAAGAAGCCATTTAAAAGACACAGTACTTGGTGGTCTAAAAAGCCTTTTTAATAGTTTAACCAGCTAGAGGGTTCCTGTTCATTTAGTTTATGGTGGCAGCGAAAGTTTAAATAGAGAGACATCCCCTCAAACGTTATATAGGTGCCAGTGAAGTCTTAATAAAGTGGTGTAAATTCTTTATATTGGAGGGACAGTGGTGGGATCTGTTTGCCCCCTGTCCAGTTATATTGATTGGTGCCATATCATAAAGCTGTCTTTATAATTGGTGTCAGATGGTGGGATTGATCGTATTGCCATCTGCATGCCTTTATACTCAGCACCTAGTTACAAACACTACTTCAAGTTATCCTGGGTACTTCAGAGGTAGTGAGGATGCTTGCCATAGATGCAGGCGAAACGTCAGGAGAAAATGCCTCTAGACCATGACCATATAGCCAGAAACAACCTACAAGAACCCAGTGATTCCGGCCATGAAAGCCTTTGACACTACTTCAACTACTCACACAAGATGGCAAATAATAGTTTGAGACAAATCAAACAGCAAAATTTTCAAACGTAAGCTGGGCCCCACATGCTTGCTGTTGCCATATATTGGGGTAGACAACTGCCCCTCCAGGGGCTTAAGGACTACAGTTCCCAGAATTTCCCAACATCATCTATGTTGATTTTTTTATTGTGTCAGAAGTGACACACTGCAAGTTGCTTCTGGTGTGAGAGAATTGGCCATATACAGAAATGTTACACAGGGGACGTGCAGATGTATTATCATTCTGCTGGGAGGCTTCTCTCCTGTCCCCACAAGCTAGAACTGACAAACGGGAACTCACCCTATATCGCAGATTCAAAGTGGCAACCTTCAGGTCAGCAACCCAACCTTCAGGTCAGCACTCCAGCTGGCTCAAGAGTTTAATCAACTGCGCCACCGTGGCTCCCATCTATGTTGATGAGGACTGATCACAGTTGTGAGCCAAAAAAATCCTGATGACCACAGTTGCCCCCTCCTGCCATAGATAATGAGCAAATTAAGTGTTCAAAACCTATCTCATTCTTTGAAAAGAAAAATAATACATGTGAAGATGCAATGGAGTCCAATGAAAGACTGCAATTTTGGACGGGAATTGTATTTGGGCACAGCTGAGAACGAAAACTTTCTCATCATGGCACAAACGAATTCAAATATATAAACAGTTTGTTCTCAATGTTCCCCGAACCCTCACAACTTGCTTGGGCAAGAAGATACCACAAGATCCCGGCCAAAGGTACAACTCCTGACTTTGCTAGGAGAAGACATGGGGTAAACATTCAAACAAAAATCAAATCCATTAAACTCAAGAGAAGTTTACAAAAAGAAAGAGGGGCTGAAACGTGGAAACCACACTTCTAGGGTGTTTATATTTCAACAGCATTTGCTATAATTAAAACACTTGTATAGTAAAAACTTGGCTAAAGCAATGACAGCATTAAACTTTATGGCCAATTCCTTTGTTTGCATAGGGAACATTGCCAAGTGCAACACACTTCACGGTAATGGTTTGATTTCCACTTAAATACAAACAAGGGCGACAGAGGGCGAGAGAAGCCTCAGTGAAAGCTAAGTAAGAAAGCTCCCTTATTATCCATAATTCAGAGATCTGAGGATAACATGGTATTTGTCCATAATGCTAAATTGCTGAAGGGAAGGAAGATATTAATAAGACAGAAATCAGTTATCTGAGAATAGAATGCACCTTTTTCATTCTGGGATCTTTTCAGAAGACAGTATTTACTTGTATGGATGCCTGCAAGATTTCCCAAATCTAATGCAAGTCTGAAAGTTTGTCTAAGCAAAACAGTCCATCTACCATCGTTAATTTTATCAGATTTCT